TTGTTTAGTTGTTTCAAAATATTTATTTGATGTAGTTAAATGTTCTATTATTTTTATTTATTTTAAGTATGGGTTGTGGTTGTAGTAGCTAGACCAATTGAGTAACCAAAGACCTACTTAATTGGTCTAGCTACTACAACCACAACCCATACTTAAAATAAATAAAAATAATAGAACATTTAATTACATCAAATAAATATTTTGAAGGGAGACCAATTAAGTAGGTCTTTGGTTACTTGGAAAGGAGCCATGATGATTGTGGGCTATAATATATGTATATATACATACTAGATATAAAACTAATCATAAAACACGTCTAACAAACAAAATAATCATAAAACACGTTTAACAAACAAAATAATATATATATATATATGTAGTGTGTGTATTGTAAGGGTTTAGAAAACTTGTATAACAGAAAGCAAATAGAGAGAAAGAGAGAGAGAGGCCATAAAAGAAGGAAAAAGGAGAGGAAATCGGCCAACAAAGGACAACAGTAGCATAAGGTTGTCGGCATTAGAGAAGAAAAACAAAGAAGAAGAAGTTTAATTTTCGATCCGAAAACCTAAAGCAAGTTCTTCGTTATACTCTTCCCCTTTGATCATGTGTTCTATATATCCTTAGTATGGCATTATATACTTATATCAGAAGGAATTAATCTGATAGCATGTTTAAATCGGACTAAAACAAAGGTGTATATATGTGTATACTTGGGATGAAAATGCTAAATCATGATTCAAATCTATGTTTTGATGAATCAAATTGTGTATATTTGCTCTATAATAATACTAGACATCAATTGGAACATAGATGCATGCTTTAGGACCAGAGAAGATATATTTTTGAACTTAGAATAGACCTCTCGAGTGCTGTTTAGACAGTGCTCGAGCCCAATAATGGGGGTGCTCGAGCACTGATGCGTGATTTTAGCCCAAAAGTGTTTCGTTTGGCCCCGAAATGATTTATTAAGGTCTCGAACATATTATTAAGACTCGGGAATAGTGGTATGTGGATTAAATAGCATGAAGTATAAACATGTATGTTACTATGGGATTTATTCAATTATTAAGTTGTAAATTGAACTTTGAATTGTTTAAACATTGGAAGTTAATTACTTAGCATGGAATATGATTTTAATCATCTTATTTGCTGGAATTGTAAATTATTAGAATAGCTCATGGCTGGGTTTATGGTTGTTATGATTGATGAAAAGGATTTTAATAACTTATACGTTATTTTTGTGATTTAATAATATTAAATTGCTATAATAATTACAGTATTCGATAATGTGATTTTAATCATGTTCATGGCTATTTTGTATGATTTAATATGTGATCTATCTCTGTTGTTATGTGAGACCATTGTCAGGATATGGTTTTTGTATTGTTGAGTATCGATGGACCGTCTATTAAGTTAGATCCCTATTTATTTATGTCATTGTTAGGATATGGCTATGATGTTTTAATGTGCCATTGTCAGGATATGGTTACGATATTTTAGGTGTGGTCATGCTACTGTCAAGATATGGTTACGATAGTCTTTACGTGGTTGTGACATTGTTAGGATATGGTTAAGTATTTATTATTAGGTGTGTCATAATACGAGCTTGAGGTCTCGTGATCAGTGGATAAGACTGAGGCGTATATTGTTGGTTGAGACGGGTAGTTGGATATAGGAATGTGTGTGCCCTTGTAGAAAGAGGACTCGTAACCACCTTGTGTACATTTTTTATGAGATACTCACTATTTGGTTGAGTTTGTCCTTAGTTCAGTGAGAGTCTTTAGTGTGTGTGTGTGTATCGACTATGTAGATATTGCATGAGTTAATTTAAGATGTATCATTCATCGATTCTTTATTTGGGTTGTTGTAAAAATGACTTGTTTGTAGGTTTTAACCCACCTTTGTTATATTTTTCAAGTCCTCGTCAGTAACAGGCTTAGAGGTTGTTCGCGCATAGTAGAGACTACTTTTCATAACTCTTCTGGTGTCTTTGACGTATGATTCTACTTTATATATTTATTATTCATGATTTAGACACTTATCTTTTTTATTTCACTCATGGGATATTTCTTTTAGGGGTCCATGATACGGATTCCCGATTTATACTATGGAGAATTATTTACGCTGGAATTTATTGGATTTATTCTGAGATTGGAATAAGAGGATTATTTAATTAATTATTTAGTTTTCCTTTTCAACGATATTATTTATTTTATTATTCATTTATTATCAGTTTGTTTTGATATCCCCAGGTTCTTAGGCGAGAACTTGATCAACTCGTATCCAAACTTGGGGGGTATCATATATATTGAGATTGTCGAGTCTCAATGATCATGTTGGAATTGCTAAGTATAAAATTAATTCCGATCTGATTAAGATGAAATATGATTTTGAGTACTACTCCTAAATTGCAATAGAACTGAAAATAAACTAAATTACCAAAGGATGAGATCAAAGTGAGAAAAACTTAGGGCTTGACTTTACCGCTAGCCTCGTAACATGATCAATTGCTTCAACCTTAAGGAATTCGATTTGATGTATATTCTGAAATTGAATGGCTACAAGCACATTCGAATTCATGAAAAAGGAAAGAGCCACAAACCTAACAGTTAGTATATTAGCCATTTTTGCATGATGTTTCAAGTCTTTTATAACATTTTCTTTCAAACTCCTTTGCCCAATCCAATTACGATTCCACGTATATTTCTCTCTAATCAATTATCACTTTTTAATTAAGAAAATTTAAGAACGTAAAATCATAACTTTGGATTAATTGAACTATGTGATAAGCAATTTTATTTATTTAAATAAAAAACAAGGCTTTTTTTTTTTTTTTTAAAAAAAAAAAACATTTGAAATTGTTAGAATATATTGTAAAATATATTGTTACCATGTATAGGTTTACTGTAACGGGTGGGCGCTTGCCCATTTATCCAAAAGCTCAAGCTGTTGGGTAGTGCTGCATACTCACCCATTTATACCCAATCACTTTTCTATCCGGATCTGATGTGGGACAAATGACCCTTGTTACATTCTCCCCCACCCAAACAACAACGCCCTCGTTGTGGCTTGGGCCACCCTACTTACCCAGGCTGTAAACCCAGACGCCCTCCTGACCGGGGGCTTGGCATGACACCAGATCAAGGATTGGGTCTGGCTCTGATACCAACTGTAACGGGTGGGCGCTTGCCCATTTATCCAAAAACTTAAACTGTTGGGTAGTGCTGCATACCCATCTATTTATACCCAATCATTTTTCCATCTGGATCTGATATGGTACAAATGACCCTTGTTACATTTACCATATAAGGTTTAGGTTTACTTGCTCCACACATATTGTCTCCTATATAAACCCCTATATATTCTCATATTTAACACATCAATACAATATAAAGTTCAATACTCTATTTATTTCTATCATGGTATTAGAGCTTTTCATCACTGGTAAACAATTTATCAGTTTATCGCAGTCACCGCGGGGGATGGCACCATCAGCCCCATCCTCGGCGACGGTCAACTAGCAAACTTATGCTTCCACACTATAAGATCTTCATATGCCCTGTCTAGGGAAGCCTCATTGTATAAGTCTTCCTTCTGGAAACCTAACGAGATGCCTCATTTAGAGAAGCTCCGCCCAGGGATGCCCTATATAGGGAAGCCTTGTCGTTTAACGCGCGAGATGTCTCATTCAGATATGTTTAATGTGTTGGATCAGCTCCGTCACCGCGCCACCATATGCCTCAAGTGGTAGTCCCACTCTTTTATGCGCTTTTACATGCACCAGTGGTAATCCCGCACCTGCTTCGTCACCGCGCCACCATGCGCCATCAGTGGTCATCATACGGGATGGCAATGTCAACCTATTTACGCTCTGCACCTACTTGCAAAATCTTCATTGATCCACCCTATGTTACCTGACATGTCAGCATTGGTGCAACGTCAAACACATTCTGTAATGATGCCAATAGTTGTGCCACGTCACCTACCACGTCAGTTGCCATGCATCAGAGGTGCCAAGTCAACTGCCACTAATTGTCATGACATCAACCACATTAGCATCGGTGCCAGTTCAGTTACATCAGGGTGAAATGATTATCTTCAAACTTGATATGGAATATTCGACTAGATAAGAATTCCACGTGACATGGAGACTCAAAGGGAATGGATAAACTTAAAGAGATAGAAATAACAACTACTACCCTATCCAATGACTCTGACAATCCGGAATGGACAAGGAAAATAAATCCTTCTATAAAAGAAGGCATTGGTCAACCTAAAAAGGTACGCCATAAATCCCATATTGAATCCTTGATCGGAGGGGGAATCATCAAGTATCAACTTGATCATCAGAGTGCACCCGGCCGGCGTCACGCCGGTCATCACTTCTCTTGTCTTGCAGGAATCAATCCGGACTTGACTTGCAGGAATTGCCATGGGCTTCGGAGTGTGTAGATTTTTGCATCAACAAAACTTAAGATGACTTCATATAAGCCACCTTGATTTTGAAGAGGTTGTTAGAATATATGGTAAAATATATTGTTACTATGTAAAGGTTTACCATATAAAGTTTAGGTTTACTTCTTCTCCACACATGTTGTTTCCATGTAAACCCCCGTATATTATTATATTATTACATCAATATAGGAGTATATTGTAAAATATATTGTTACCATGTATAGGTTTACCATATAAGGTTTAGGTTCACTTGCTCTCCATATATTTTTTATATTATTACATCAATACAATATACAATTGCTCTCTCTCTCTCTCTCTCTCTCTATTAGAAATTATTTTTGTAAAATTTTGGGCTCTCCCTCTCTCTATCAAAAATTATTTTTGTAAAATTTTGGGACTTTTGAGGTCAATTTACCCCAAAAAAAAAAAAAAAAAATAAAAAAAAAAAAAAAAGGAAGAAAAAGAAAACAGAAACCATAGAAAGCAAAAGACTTTTCAAAGACCCGTTTCATCGCTTTACTCCGCATTTGTTTCGCAGTCTGTCTTATTTTGACCCCAAAATTGTATACAAACATAACTTTTATATATATATAACTTTTATTTTATTTTATTATTATTTTCCCTCCTTGAATCCTCTTCACAGAAAAAAGCTCCAATTGTTTCTCTGCAAATCCGGCACTCTCTTTCTCTCTAAACTTTTCAAATGACCTGCATTTCTGCAAATCTTTTACACCTTCTTTTGAATCCATTCACACTCCGCCTTTCTCTCTGTCTACCCCTTGCTTTCTCTGTCTAAAATGGACGGTCCCTCCGAAGATCTTTCTCACCCTTGTCAACAACAAAACATCATCGTCTCTAACGACGACGACCAGCGAGTCTACTTCGTCCCCTACGGGTACACGCCTCCTTTGTCAGTCAGTCACTCATACATATATATATATATATATATATATATATATATTACTAATACTTTATTTTATTTGTGTATCATCATCAATCAACGATTTCAAATCCGTACCCAAAATAACAAAATCTGAATCCAGAAATGTCATATAGCTTTTCACTTTAGCCTTATTTGGGTGTTTCAGCATTGTTCAATTGTGTCGATGAAATTTAGGTGATTGATGAATGCTTTGGTTTTTGTATTTTGATAAACATGTATATGCGGCTGCGTGTTGTAGGTGGTGGAAAGAGGCAGAGGACTCCACTGTGCTGCTTGATTCACATGAGAAGAGAGGGATTTTGTACACGGCAACTCCGGCTTCGTCTTATGCCAGGACATTGAAGATAATTAACAACATTTTTAACTCGGATCTTCTGTTCAATCTTAGGAGAGAGGATGATTCTTTGCAGAATCATGAGAATGGTGAAGTTGGGACCTCTGGCCGGGACTACGCCTTGGTTTCTGGAGAAATGTGGTTGCAGGCGCTCAAATGGTGACTGCTTTAACAATTCCTGTCAAATGGGTTCTTTTAATTTATTCACTAGCTATTCGAATAGTAGTTTCTCATCAATAATATTGGGTTTTGGATTTAAATCCGTATTATAAGTGCCATTTGTGCTTGAGATTCCTTTGCTCTTTCATGATCTGCATTACTACTGCTTCTTTTAATTTCTTGATTCTTCCTGCCTTTGGTAACTAGTTACTAATTTGAGTTGATTTTGACCAACTGTCACAATTTCTGGAAAGTGGGCTACTCTTGGTGGTCTGTGAATCTTTATTACAAAAAGTTTATAGTATTCTTTGTAATCAACTGCATGCTTTACTTGGAAGCTCATTAACTAGGAAGGAAATTATAACTAATAACTCTTTCTTCTCCAGCATCCTTTTAGATATGAAAAGAGGAGTCATTTTGTGTTTGGTGTCCTATTTCTTCTTCCCACCAATTCCTTCTTGCACTTGATTGTATCACTTCTAAATCTCGATATGTATTATACAATTTATTTAGGTGTCAGAGTTACATAGCATTACTTGGTAAATTGATAAAATTGCATAGATGATACACAGGGCATGTACCATTGAAAGTGAGTAAAATGACGGTAATAGTTTGTATATGCCTTGAAAAGTAAATAAAGTTTCTATGATCTCTCATCAACTGGTATGTTCTTTTCCATGTAGGCACAGTGATTCAAAAGTTGCAACAAAGGATGGTAGAAGCTTTTCAGCTGGAGAAGTTGATATGGCGGATGTCTATCCTTTACAACTTAGGCTTTCTGTTCTGCAGGAAACAAATTCACTGGGAGTGAAAATAAGCAAAAAGGTATCTTTTTATCTGACTCCAGTTTTCTGTTTCTCATTGTTTCTTGAGGTATAGAACATTGTAGTGACTGATTTTCTCTGCTTCTATCATGGATGTATATTGATATTTGTGTAGCCAACCTTTGTTTCCTTCATTTCTATTTGTTTTTGGATTTATTTTGATTTTTAGTGAGAAGGAATATTAATCAGTTAAAAGTATTTTTTCCCAATGACACAGAGCTAGGTTTTCCTGCATATATGATTTCTCTTTCACTAATGCTCTAAGTGTATGGATGTACTATTGAATTCTTCCTATACTACACGAGATTTGTACTAGTCAAGTTCCACAGCATAAGGAATTGTAGCTATGCCTTCCATCCAGAAGTTATGCATTTGGAAATGCTCTCTTTAATGCTCTCTTTAATGGAATTTTATTTTTTATTTATACCCATCACTTGCTAATGCATGTCCAAAGTGCTCTATTTGTATGTAACATATTATTAATTCAAAGAACATCTGGAAATATCGGTAATTCACAGAGTATAATACATTATTAATTACATTTGAGTGAGTAAAAGCTGTGCATTTAGTTATTAGCTTGAGTGGTATCTGCTTCCATTACCAAAGGTGGATGTGCATTGTTCAAGTCCCGTTGGGAGTTGGGACACGGTTGTGTGTCTTACTTATAAGAAAAAAATGGTTCTTTGTTTCTTAGAATTTGCCAAATTTTTTACTTGAGATTCAAGAGTCAAATCTGATGAATTTTTGGTTATAAGGGGAGTGTTGTAATAGGTCCTCCAGAAATGCTATTCGATTGATCTGGCCTCATTTTTTTGTCCTCTCAGTGATTGCTTTATTGGAACTCTCCTCTGAGCATTTGGCAACAATCAGTACAAGCGGCATTTTTACATGCAGTTATTTTACTGTCTTTGGGAAAAAACTATACTACATTTTTTTTTGAGCTTTTAGCCTATTACCAACCATCACACTTTCAACAATTTTAATTGAATTTCTTCAATTGGTATCCATTAATAGTTGGATGCTGATCCCGTGCTTTCATGTTTGTGATTGACAAGATAAGAAGGGAATTTGACTAGGTATTTTTCTTTGAAATACATGGTAGTATTGAGATAATAACACTTCACAATCTGTTAATTTCAATTTTGCTTGCATAATATTTAGCATGGATTTTAAGAACTATGTTGTGCACTTATTTGAATTTATGGTATTCTTGTAACTTCATATGTCTTGATGACAAAATGAAATTCAAAATATGGAAGTTAAGCAAAATAGTTTTAACCATATTGTATTATACTCAAAAAGAAAATTTGTTTAAATTATGCCAGTAGTTACAAAAAAAAAATGGTTTTATAGTGCAATTCTAATGGCATGTGGACTACAATGCCAGTGCAAGCAAATAGATTTTTTTGTTAATATTGTTTATACCTTTTTTTTTTTTTTTTTTTTTGATGAGTAAGAATGCATTAGAAAGAATTCAAAAGGGGAACACATCCCAAGAACTACACATCGACAAAAGCCAAAAGGCCCTAAAGACTCAATGAGCCCAAAAAATCAACTTTCTCCTCTAAAGACTTACAATTTGTCTCCATAACCCATCAAAAAAGAGAGCAAACAAGGGAAAACTTTAAAACCCCAAAAAGAGAATCTTCTCTGTCGTTGGATCTTCTATTCGTTCCTTCCAAATGCACCACCAAACACAAGAGAGAGCCACTCTCCAAAACTCTCGAGCATGATGGCCCACATGACAGTCTCTCCAAGCATCAATCAATCCTCTTGTAGACCTAGGCATAACCCACTCATCACCAAACAAGCCAAAAATAAGACTCCAACAATCGTGGGCCATGGGGCAATGCAATAAAAGTTAATCAACTGGACTCCCTATTCCATTTGCACATACAACACCAATTCACAGTAACTTGTCTTGTCTTTCTCAGATTAATAGATTATCAAGCGTCAAGATCTTGCCCCAAACTGTTGTCCAGACAAAAAAGTCCACTTTGAGAATAGCCTTTGAACACCACACTGCCTTCCAGGGGAAGTCAGTCCCTGAGAAAAGCCTGAGAGGCAATAAAAAAGAGATCGAACATCAAATCTTCACTTGGAAGAGGGAACCCAAATGAGAGAATCTGACCCTCCACTATCCAGCTCCTGCCTGTATAAGACCTTCAAGAAAGCAGTGACATCATCCGTTTCCCAGTCCTGAAAATGACGCAGAAAACGCACATCCCAAGTAATCCTCCCATTATTAAAACGATAACAGTCAGCAACCACGGCATGTCTATCGGCGGCAATCTTGAAGAGCCTGGGAAAGGAGCAAGCCAAAGAAAGTCGCCACACCAAAAGTCCTCCCAAAAACTGATACTACTGCCGTCTCGAATTCTGAATCTGATGTGTTTAGAGAATTCATCCCAACCCTTCCGAATGAATTTCCAAATGCTAACACCTCCAGCAGAAGTAAGTGCACAAGAGCACTGCCCACCTCTCTCCTCTCCAAAACGGCACGATATAATCCATAAGGTGTGACCCTCGCTGCCAAATCTCCACAGCCGCTTACCAAGGAGAGCCCTATTAAAGGGCAACAACCTCCTAACACCCAAACCACCCAACTGAAGAGGTCTACACACCTGCTCCTAGCAAACAAGATGATACTTGAACTCCTCTCCCACGCCACCCCATAGGAAGTTTCGTTGAATCTTCTCTTAACTTTTCAGCCACCAATGAGGGGATTTGAAATAGAGAAAGGAAATATGTAGGAAGACTCGACAAGGTGCTTTTCATTTTTCATAATCCTAACTTTTTTGCCCTTTGAGAGATACTGTTTCTTCCACACTGCTAACAGCTCTCTCACGGGATCGCACCCCCCAATCCTCCTAAGGAGACCCCAAAGGCAAAGCCTAGATAACAGATGGGGAATGTGTTATTTATACCTTCATAAACTAGATTAATATTCTATAATTTCCCTTCATGTGTCCTTTATTTGCGCTGCTCGCGCGTACATATATATGTGTGTGCATATGATCTCTGCGTGTTTGTTTCACCCTCAACCTGGAAAACCCACCTCTCCTTGATTTGGATGCCTCATTATCATGAAATATAATTGGTAAACAAAAATCAAATAACAAGGGACCATGGATCTTTAAAAAAAGGGATAGTGCACGAGTCTCCCGCCATTGCGGGGTCTGGGCAAGGTCAGATGTATTCAGCTTTACCTCAGCATTCAGAGAGGCTGTTTCTCGCTTCGAACCCGGGACCTCCAGGTGAGTTTGAGAAGAGGCAAAAACACCCATGAAGGAACTTTGATGTCTATAAGATTACACCAGTGAGATGTGCTGCCAAGACAGAGACACCTCTTGGTGGTCATTTTGAACTGACCACAGCTGCTAATGCCAGCATCTTTAGCTAATGAAAAGGGCGATTTACAACTCTGATATGGAGTTGATTTTGGTACCATATGTATGTAATTTAACACAGTATGAATGAAGAGTAAATAAGAAGAGTCAAAAAGAAGGTCGATGGTTTAACATGCTGTGAGGTTCATTTTTTCCCCCATGATAACAATGAGAGAGTTCAAATTGCTCTTGAAGAGTTATAATTTATGGTTCCAACACCATCAAACATGCTATTCATTCTTGAATCTTGGCTCGTGTTGGCAGTGAGGTTTGATCTTTGGTGCCTTCCTGAGATGAAGGCACTGTGTTTTTAATATAATTATGGAATTTCCTTTCAATCTACTAGATACACCTCGATTGATATTTCCGTTCATCCTTCTGACTGAATTAATTGGTTTTCTAATTTGAGAGTTCAATTTTGCCTGCCTTGTTAGGAAAGAACATGAATACAGTAGAGTTATGATGCTCTCTTATCTTGCGTCGTTGAAAAGTCAGTGATCATTTTCGTGATTGTAGCTTTCTGTTTGGTTTAAAGGACCCATCTTCTTCAAGTTTTGTGTGATTAATCATGCTAGTTGAATCCCATCTGATACTGGTACATAAGTATGTGATTCTGCGCGTAAAGTTTAAAGTTTAAACAGTATGATACTACTGGTCTGTCAATTGCCTCTTCATCCTCGAGGGCCAAATCATTTACCTTTCTCTCTGAGTTATGGTTTAGTTCTTCTTGCAGTCACCATACAGTGGAAAATTTGGGATTTCAGTTCTCTTCCTTTAGCGGTAACTAACTTGGTCTTCCCTCTTAAATTTCAAAAAAAAAAAAACTTGGTCTTCCCTCTTTGGATGTCATGTGAATATTTCTCTTAGTTTATACTTCAACTCGAACATACCTGTCCTCTTCTTCTAGAATGGTTAATATTCTTAAAAGTATTCTTCTTTCGCCTTCTTATAATTCATTTTTTTTTACTTGTACTCCAGACTTTGTATTTTTCCCTTATTACAGGTTTCAGTTTGTGGTAAGACAACCAGGAGATGTCAATAAATGAAAAGATGGCCAATGAATTAATTATTAATATATGAAAAGAAACCACACATACCTGCTGCGTCCTTTCTGTCCTTTTGATTTATATAAAGAACTAATTACTTCCTGTGCACCACTGCCAATTCCATATCATCCTTCTCTCTTTTAACTTCTGTTTAAAAACATTATGCAATGCTGAAACACCGGCCCATGAATTAATGTGAAGCTGTATAAAGAATTTATTTCTTGTTTTGAAATACTTAAGCATTCATGGGAATTTTTTTTTTTTTTTTGACAAGTAAAGATGTTATAAGAAGTGTTCAAGAACCCAACAAAAAAGGGTACTAATAATGGAGAACTTCAACGTCTTAATAGGATTCTCCTTTCCTTCGAAGGATCTCCTATTTCTTTCAAGCCATAAACACCATTAGATGCATAAAGGCGTAACCCTCCAGAAATCACGAACTTGGGCCCCCACTATACAACCTCTCCAAGCCTCAACCAAGCCTCTGGAGGACCTGGGCGTAACCAACTGAACCTCAAACAAACCCAACAACAAAATCCAGCAATCTCGAGCCACAGGACAATGCAAAGAAAGTTTTCAACCGTTTCCTCTTCATTCTTACACATGCAACACCAATTAACCACATCTCATGCCTAATTTTATCTTATTTTTCTTTAGAATTTACATATAATGCACATAGAAATTCTTCTAAACTCAGGAAGAGTGGCGACACTAAAGCTGTCATTAAAACGTTTAGAATTAGCATTACAAGCATTTGATTGAATGCACCTACCTCTGCGAGTGGCATCTCCTAGACCTATGCTGCGATGGATCTAAGCAAGGTGGCCTGATGTGTACTTCCTTTTGCCGGTTCATCAAACCGCAATCGATCCCTTATTTGAGTTAGGGGCAGATGGGCCTTTCCATCTTCCTTGGACCAATCAGAGTTTGGTTTCTCAACTAATCTACAACTTTCTTCATTTCTTACAAGTGGCATCTCCAACCTGATTCAATGACTAGAGGAACTTTTTCATCAATTTATTTTAGAAACGCTCTCATCCTATCTTTCTATTAAGCATAATTGTTTCCATGAAAACTAGAGATTGAGAGACCAATCCACCCCATCTCATTTGTGAATCCATATTTTTAGTAGATTTGTCATAAAGAAGTTTCGTTCTGAAAAATCCTTTTTGAAAACGATCACTCTTTTTTTTATTTATAACACACACATGTCAAGTAACCTGCTTTGATTCCAGGTAAGCGCCATGCAAACAAAACACTGAGTGAATCACGTATATGGTTACAAACCTAGAGGGCAGATGAATATGTCTCCTTTTCATAATGGTCTTTTTAAGATGGTCTCTTATTTATTGGAATCTGATTAATTAATCATGTAGCATGGATTTTCTTTCAACTAATTACTCAATTCATGTGGGAAACCCCAATGGGGAAAAACCAGAGGGGCACTGTTCTGATGCTAAACAATCCACTATTTAAAAGAACTACAATGATTTTTGCTTAGTTACGGACTCCACACCTCATAACCACTAACTCATTGGTTTGCCTCTGACTTGTAAAATTTGTAAGTTATACACTTGCCATGCATGGTTACACTCAATCCCCGAGTGACCTCGTTAGCCCAGACGTAGCTTACTGTTAACGCAATTGCAACTCACACGGAGAATATTAACAACCCAGTTTATCATGCACACTATCTCTCCTTCTGGGTGAGAAAGGTCTCCACCCTCAAGTGCGAAGTTATGATGAAAGATCTGTTGTTGTTCTTCAAAGCTTGTCGATCCTGTACCAAGAACAGTGATGGAAGCAAACACAAACTTCAATTATTCTTTCAACCTCCCAAAGTACGTGTGTAAAAAGTTCTGAAACATCACTGGACTTTCTCTTTCAAAGTGTAGGATGCATAAATTCTCTTAGATATGTCATAGGTGTGTGCTATAGAAACTTCATATAATGTGTAGATGTCATTTTCTTAGTAAAAAACTTCTCAGAATGCTTTTTCTGATTTGGAAGCAACAGTTTTAAGAAATTGGAGAGTGAACATTGCTGTTCTCTTTTTGCCAAAGTTGAGGTGCTACAGGTGCTCCGACCCGAGCATCATTGGTCGAGTCTCTGTTGAATATTGATGTTTACCTCCTGAGCATTCTTGCTTAATTTACTATTTTGAATTAATTTTATTTTTTTTAAAAAAAAACTCTCCAAGTTTCTTATATTGAAAAAAACACAATTTTAGCAATTAAAAACCTTTTAGGACTCTGTTTTAGTAGGTCAAAGCTTTCCAAAACAATTTAAACCAATTTTAGTCAAACTAAGCCTGAAGTCCAGTTAGTCAAAATTACCGTTACTTGGTGTGTGATCCAAGTTGATCATGATCGTTGATACATTATATCATGCAATCACCACTATCTTCTTGAACTTCAGTAGATTTTCAATTTCAACTTTCTTAACCAAATTAGAAGGTAAATCAACACGAGTAACTAACCCAGACTGACACAAGTTTTTTATCAACCTTGACCAAATTATGATTCATGGATATTGCTATCATAATTGCACTAGTAAGTCATAACAAATAGCTCCATAATACATCACATCCTCCAATCTATCTTAGAGCAGTACAAGTTAAAGGACATTCTACGTCTGGAAAATCTGTTACAGTGTTACCTTTGAATGTGCAATGTTGAAATAAGTGCATTACATTTGATTGATGGCACACTATATCCTAATTCCTGAGTGAATCAACAAAATGGTTATATCTATGATGAACTGTGTACCTGAGACATGGATTCATGACATGGAATTTTAACATTTGGGGTAAGCATACAAATGCTATTCACGTGTCAGGCTCTAACTAATTTTCTTTTTCTAATAGCTAGTATGGACATTGTGTACAGTGTAATCTTGGTGTTCTCCTGTGTCTGATCTAAAGTTCATTGTGATTGTGAATGGTTTCCTTTGTTTTCATATCTTGATTTGCATTTTTATTTCCATTTTAGGACAATGCAGTCGAGCGTTTTAGAAGAGCCTGCAAGATTTTCACTGTTGAAACTGAGCCAGTAAGTGTTCTAATTATTTTATATTTGTTTGCATAATGGTATTACCTCCGGTGTAATGGAATTGGATAACTTTCAAACTTGTGCTGTTGTGTGCAGTTACGCATTTGGGATTTTTCTGGGCAGACAACTCTGTTTTTCTTACATGACAAAAATAAGTTCTCAAAAGAGACTCAAAGGCAGTCCGAGCAGGAGGTAAGAGGTAGACTTGTGTGATAAGATTTTTTATTTATTTATTTTTGGCATTGATTTATTCTTTTGTTCTTATACTTCTTATCAATCACTGCATCTGTTTATTACTCTTTATTTAAATTCTGAATTTAAAAGAAATTGTATGCCATCCCTATATTGATTTTTGTGCCGTAGATTTTTCATACTTCTATTTTAAGTGAAGTGTGATGGGTGCACTGTTCTATTTTTATCTGCTACTATACTCTAGCTGGCTTTATGCATGTTTATAAATTGAGGTTGATGATGAATGCAATGGATGCGTAGTGGTTATAATTAGTTTTTTTGAATCCCATGCATCTTTGAAATATGGAAACTAAAATTATCACCTTTTGAATTAGAATGAATTAACTTTTTTTAAAAGGTAGAAAGACTGGATTCAAGATAATTTTTATAAAGACTCATTAGTAACAAAAGCACATTTAGTTGATTACTTGATTTACAAAAGTACACTTTGAAGCTAATCAATCTTTTTTATTTATTTTTATAAGTAAGATTTCATTAAAGGCGCTCAAGAGGGGAGTGCTCCCAAAAGAATACACAAGATGCAAAAGGTGACTACTATAGCTTTAAGCTATTCACAAAATCCAAAAGATGGCCCAATGATTTACAATTGCGCCCATTTACCCCCAAAAATAAAGAATACAATATCTTGTATTTGAGAGGCTAAACAGGTGTCTCCTCACTCTCGAAAGATCTCCTATTTCTCTCACACCACAAGCCCCACCATAAACAAAGTTGATGTGTGTCAATAATAAAAGACCACTCGCAATAGGACGAATCCTTGTAGGATAGGGCTATTTTGAGGTGTCGAACCTCAAGGATCGTGTTGGAATTGTTAAGTATGAAATTAATTCCAATTTGATTCAAGAGAACAGAATTTGTGTTGTTTTAAACTGAAAATAAACTAAGTTAATGTAGAATAGACGTCAAGAGAAAGGGACTTAGGGATTGATTTCACCACTAGCCTCATAACATGGTCAATTGTCTCAATTCTGCGGAAATTCATATTGGGAATCAAGTGGCTACAAGCTCACTTTAATTAAATTAGAAAGATGTATATAAACAAGCACTAAGCATAACTCGTCTTCGGTTGACACGAATTGTCTACCTAACTACTTTAATCTACGGTGCAGTACAACTCGTCTTCCCTAGGCATGAATTATCAAATCACTCATTCATATATTCGTTAATCATCATTGCATGATCATTACCTTTATAATCACAGAAAATAAAAGTAATTTGATTTAAATCATAATAAAACCAAGTCTAAGACAAGAGTATGATTCCATTAAAATTGAATTTAAACATTAAAACCCAATTGATTAGTACAACTAAGTCAGTTGCTTATAATCATGCAATCAATATACATAATCCAGAAAAGATCCCCAAAATAAGAACAATCAAACCATGATACTTGGCTAGGGTTACATCAAATCCCTAAGAAGGGTGTTGACAAACGCAACGAACCCAAGATAGAATCAAGAATCACAACAGAAAAGTAAACACACCACACAAAGAACACAAAGATTTATACGTGGTTCGGCAACAACCTACGTCCACAGTTGGGATCCGGCGAAAGTTTTCACTACGTGTAAAATTGGAGATTACAAGTTTTTAGCCCCACTCTGTTTCCGTATGAATTTCAGAGTCTCCCTCTTACACCACTCCAAACCCTAAGCGCCTTTATATATCGGACTACAAGAGACTAATTAGGGTCCACAACCCATGAGCAAGAAACCGGACCAAAAAATTTCCTCGGGGCCAAGACCCCGAACCCCCAGAGCTTTGGTGGGCTTGGGCCTACACAAAGCTCATCCAGCGGGTCATTGGTGTGATGGAGAAGGTAGAAGTCTTCAATGGTGTGATGAACGCCATCTACATGGACTACAAATTTTATTGGAATCACCTTCTTCAAGCTTCAACAATGTAGGATTGCTCCAAGCCGCCAAGTCTCTCTTTTCTGTGCTCTCCTCCTTCATTAACCATTCATTATGACCTATATCATCAAAAACGGGTCCTAAAATCGTGCTAGAGCTTTTTGAGAAAGTCCAGCTCATGTAGGATTTGAAAAGAGCAAAAATCAGCAATCCTGCAGAAAGTAGGATTTGCTGTCAAAGTCGTTCGAACCACTTTAATGTGGTTCGAACCACAAGGGGTTGCAATCAAACCCTTTGAACGTGGTTTGAACCATTTGGACACTTTTTGCATAGTTTTATGTTTTGATAAGTGGTTCGAACCACCATTTGGGGGATCAAACCACTTTGCTGAAAAAATGTATTTTGGTCCGTTTAAGCTCCAAATTGGTCCTGAGCAAGCTGGTATCTTCCTTGATCATTAGAAACATCATCAAAGCCCTGAAATAGGTAGAATTGATCGGTTTTGAAGGCGAACACCTGAAAATACCAAAGTCAAGAAAATGGTGTAAGTACTAAGGTATAAGCATTACTAAAGAACTATAATATGCAACTTTAAGGGCTCGAATGTGCAACATTCAGCGCTTATCAAAAGGAAGTGGCCCTCCAAACATCCCTGGCTCGGCTCTCCACTAGACACCCTCTCCAAGCCTCAATCAACTCCACTGTGGATCTTGGGAACACCCAAGACATGCCAAACGCAATAAAAATCATAACCCAAACGTCTCTAGTCAATGAGGAAAGTGATTCACGAATTCCTCCGTCTTCTTCCACATACAAAGGGAGTGGCCCTCCAAACATCCCTGGCTCGGCTCTCCACTAGACACCCTCTCCAAGCCTCAATCAACTCCACTGTGGATCTTGGGAACACCCAAGATATGCCAAACGCAATAAAAATCATAACCCAAACGTCTCTAGTCACTGAGGAAAGTGATTCACGAATTCCTCCGTCTTCTTACACGTGCAACACCAGTTAACCACAATATGTTGTCTCCTCCTAAGATTGTCAAGGGTAAGAATACTTTCATGAGCGTCACACCACGCAAAGAAAGCCACCTTCAATGGGGCTTTTGACCTCCAAATTGCCTTCCATGGAAAGGGAGGATCTCCGAAAGGCTGTGATAAAAAGCTCTAACCTCAAACACCCCCCTTGGAGTACCCTCACACACCATCTCATCCATTCCCTCCCCCTCCACCACCTGGCTATAGAGCAAGGCTAAGAACTCTGCAACCTCCGTAAGTTCCCAATCATGAAACTCTCTACGAAAATGCACATCCCAAGTCAACCTTCCGCTATCAAGCCGATAATAGTTTGCAACCAAAGCATGTCTTCTTGAAGAGATCCTGAATAACCAAGGAAACCTACGAGACAAAGCAAAGTCCCGACACCAGCAATCCTCCCAAAACCTGACGTTACTCCCGCTTCGAACTCTGAATCGGATATGTTTGGAAAACTCATCCCCCCTCTAATCAACCTTGCCTTACTGGTTTATCTGGCATTACTTGAGATTTTCACTATTTGATGTACTCAAACATTTTTGAGGTAGATGTTGTGTTATTTGTTTCTTGATGGTACGCATAGTTTAATTCAACCCTAGAGGGGGGACGGGGTGAATGGTACTAAATTGTAAATAACTAACTTTTCAAATTTTAGTTAAACCTTGTTCAATTTTTAGTTAAATAGTTATCTACTTGTCTCAATAATAAACATTTGAACACATATAAAGCAGTAAATAAATTAAAGCAGAGTGATTTTTTTACATGGACATCCCTAGAAAAGGAAGAATCATGTGACCCTCAGTTCAGGCATGAACAATCCGATATTAGAGAAAGGATTACAACAAGGTTAACCAGACTTATACCCAAAGAGGGGCATTATAAAGCTTATGATCATTGTCTATTGAAGGGTTCTCAAGGAATTGCTCCATGAACCCCCCTTAGGTAGCTCCTAGCCTCGTGGTTGTAAGAGGTGCTTTGTTTGTTCCTTTTTCTCTCAGGGTGTGAGAGAGCTATTTATGAGCTGCTTGGTTGTGTTCTCTTGAGCTGTGACTTGTGAGTATTCTTTTAGTTTGAGAGCGTTTTTGGAGCTTCATTGTTTTATCCTCTTTTTTTGGTAATATAATTTTAACTTATTCGGGAAAGACACTATTAGTTCAATATGACTGGGCACACAAATTTGTAGAATAAAATTGAGTCTGTAACTTCTAGTTTAATCTCTAGTTTAAATTAGAAAATTTCAAAACTTAGTTGGAGTTAGTTGATTACCTCCTACTCAAGGTCGAAGGAGTTGCATGCTACAATCTTGGGTAATGTAGTAATATTTATCTACAAGGGTAAAACACATTGACGCACTCACCAAAAACTTAGGTTTATGCATGCATAATTAGTGTCTGATTTTTACATGATTTGATTCCCTAAATTTTTTTAAAAAAATGCATTGAAGTTGTTTGTAAACTTCTTGAATTGAAATTTCTAAGTTTACACTGCAGTAGACTTCGATCATGGGTGTCTTGTTGATCAATCGAGATTTGTGGAAAAGCAATTCCCAATTTGGTTTTAAATTCTACCAACCCTATTCTCTCTTTACTTCTATCGTGCTTATAATATATACGATACAAGGACAGAATAATGTATAACTCATATAATTATTTTGAGAGCATCTTTGTGAGTTCCAGAGTTCATTGTTATTTTTTTTTTCATTCATCATACTTAGCTTTGGCAAGTGTTTCTCATTGTGTGTTGACAACTACTACTACATTCTTCGATTGAAGAGTTCAACACCGCATTCAATCCATATTCAGAGATTGAGCGTGCATGACTAGTGAGATACTGATAAAGGAGAAGCAACTTGTGAAGAGCGAAGACTGTTGACGAGCAGATGGACGGATGGCCTGGAAAATTTTAGGGGATCTTATAAATGTTAGTTGAAGCTTTTAGGTAGCTATGGAACCAAAGTGCGGAATATTCTAAAACCTGAGTTATATAGGGTTTTCCAATTTAAAATATTGTCAAAGAAGAACCTAGGTAATTTCTGAAAATTCTCCTAAACAGATGAATTTTAAGAGATCAGCTCATTGTAGTAGTCTTTTGTGGTACTATGACTTGTTAATCGTTTCAATCTTTTCCATTCTATTTTATATGTCATAAAATGCATGTGACCTTATGTTTCTTCCTTCTGGTTTGCCTATTTGTAGATTCTCCTGGAGTTGCAAGTTTATGGTTTGTCAGATCCTACTAGAAGTAGAGATGTGAAAAAAGATGAGGTGACAGCGCAATATCCTAGTGGAGCTTCATTTACGATGAATGGTAGCACTGGCAATATGAGTTCCAATGTTGTTCGGAGTAATACTCCAGCCTTTTTTGGAAGTTCTGGTGAAGCTGGTTCTTTGGGGTTGACAGGGTTGCAAAACCTTGGAAACACTTGTTTCATGAACAGTGCTCTTCAGTGCTTAACACACACCCCAAAACTGGTGGACTACTTTATTGGAGATTACAACAGAGAAATAAATCATGGGAACCCCTTGGGCATGAATGTATGTTATCATCTATATCATGTCATTGCCATGCTTCTTTAAGGATCTCTCTCTCTCTCTCTGAGTGTCGTACTTGTATGCGTCTGTGTTTTTGTTTAACTTTTCATTTTCTTTTTCAAAATAAAAGTAGGTTTATATTTTAGAGAGAATGTTGCTGAAGATGTTCCAACACTTTCTTAGAATACTGGCCTTCTTTCCTAGTTTATGATTAAACCTCCCCTTCTTGGCCAGGGTGAGATTGCTTTAGCATTTGGAGATCTGTTGAGGAAGTTATGGGCTCCTGGCGCAACTCCAGTAGCACCCACAATATTCAAATCAAAGCTTGCTCGTTTTGCTCCTCAGTTCAGTGGTTTTAATCAACATGATTCCCAAGTTGGTGATTTTCTCTTGTTTTGAATTTAGAATTTTAGGCTATGTTATTTTTATTGTCATTTGTTTAAATTTTTTTTTTTTTTTTTTTTCGGGGTGATAAACATAATATTATGTTATCTATTAAAAGAAAAGAACTTATTAACATTTTGCTACAGGAGCTCCTTGCTTTTTTATTGGATGGACTCCATGAAGATTTGAATCGTGTAAAATCCAAACCTTATGTAGAAGCTAAGGATGGAGATGGTCGGCCAGATGAAGAAGTATCTGATGAATATTGGCAGAATCATCTGGCTCGCAATGACTCTATTATTGTTGATGTGTGCCAAGTGAGTTAATTTTTTCTCTTTGAAAGTTCTGCATTTTTTTATTGTGGATACAAACGCAAAGGTGTAATCTCTTTCGATTTGCACCTTGAATACTTATGCATAAGAATGGAACACAAGGGACCTCTGGAGTTACTTTCACTTCCCAGGCAAAAGAAGTTATGATTTCAAAATCGTTGTATAATTATGCTAGAATTTCTGGTTTCTTGTTCTGTTCTGTCCCCAAACATGAGAAAAATTAGATTCTGGTGTATAAAACTATGTTAATATACCCGTCTGAGATTTTAATTTAAACTTCTGGTTCAATCGGGTCTCATTTGGGTCCCTATTCATGATCCAGGACGTTACAAACCTCCCCCCAACCCCAAATTAAAAGAATATTATCACTGAAATTCACAACTTAGGAAGTCAATACATAATAATTCATGAAGCAAATTATTTTGTTTACTTTTAGTAATTTTATATTTTGGGACTACTGCTTTTGCTAGTCCTTTATTCATTCCTATCTAGACTTTCACGCATTAGGATTGATAATCTCAACACTTGTTAAGTGTTGCAGCATGGAATACGTTTCTAGCAAGTAGTAACAATGGATTTGCTGAAGTCATAGCCTCTTGATGAGCAGACGATGATGATAAGTTACTTGCTGATATCGGGATATGGCACATTTCCCGATTAGGAGATTCTTAGTGGATTCCGCCTTAAAGTCAAACTGATTTCCAAAAATTTTCAATAGACTTCATATAGACCGCATCATTTTTTCCTTTGGTTGACTCGATATCGAGTTTTAAAATTTTGTTCTGCTAACTTAGTGCGCATAAATAACTTGGTATGAGAAATTTAAAGTTGATATTGCCTTTCATCTCAAATTTTAACAAGCATGGAATACATCAATGCATCTATCTTTATTATGGTATATTGATTTTTTTGGAAGGACAGAATCATTTATTGGGGGAATGATCCTTTTTTTTTTTTTTTTTTTTTTTTTTTTAACCTTAACGTACATAAATGCGTATACTGGAACTTGAAATTTTGATTTCAATCATTTATCAGAATCCATGGCGATTGCTGTATTATATTTATTTATTTATTCTTAGTTTTAAAATAAAACAATTGTGTTTTAATTAAGTTTTAAACTCAAGACCTCTTCAAAGTTGGTGATCAATCCACTAGACCATCTCTCCTACAAGGCTTCTAGTGTCTTGCTGTATTATATTTAATTAAACGGTAAATTGCACTGACCTCACCTGAGGTTTTGGAAATCTCTCACACCCCTATTAGAGTTCATCACCTAACAACCCCAAACATTTCATGTTATTTTCCGATTTACCCTTTCTCACCATCCATATTTTCTTTTCTATACTCTCTGCACAGTTCCCTCCTCCCTCGCCCCTGCCACCACCTCTCTCTCTCTGTCTCTCTCTCTCTCTCTATATATATATATCCAAAATTTGACTCCACCAGTCCACCACCACACACACACACACACACACTCACTCTTCTCTTCACCACAATAACCAACATCACAGTCATTGTCTCCCCAACCCAACCAAATCCCCTTGTGGAACACCAAATTAGTAAGCTATGTATTTAGATGTGCTAATCTCTTAAAAGCTCCAAAAAAGCTAAAAGCTAAAAGCCAAACATTATCTCACATCATTCGCAAGCCTATAAAATCAAAAAGTTGGATTTAAAACCCCAAAAAATCAAACTCACAGTGCACGCATACATACATACATATATATCTATATATACCTTCGTGTATACATATAAAATCCAACAAATCTCAACAAGAGAATCCAAGTACGAGGGAATAATAAACAGAACCAGTATGGCATAAATCAACAAAAATTGAACCAAAAACAGTCAAAACCGCAGACCCTTAGATTTGTAAACGCCTTACTGTTTCTTATTTGAATGGCATTTGGGGCTTCAAATTTTGGAGATCTTCGAATTGATCTGAAGGTAATTCAAGGCTCGGGTGTAAGTTATTGAAAAATAAATGGAGAGGGGGTGTTAGGCAAAAAAGACCCAGATGATGTTTGGCAGGTAGGTAGGAACAACAGCAGCTGGCGGCGTGGCCCATACTTGGGCAGCCTTGTGGCTGGGGTGCAATACATATATGTATTTTGTGTGTTTCATTTGCTATTTAGAATTTTCTATTAAAGGGCAAAATTGGCATTTTGTAAAGTTTAGTGTAGTTAACAGCTTTATTAATGGTGGGGAAGGTATGGGAAAATCAACGAAATCTCAGGGAAGCTTGACCCAATGTTTTTGAAAGTTTCATCCTATACTGATTACCCCAAACCTCAGGGGAGGTCAGGGTAACTTATTCTTAAATGGGTCGCGGGCAAAAAAACACCCCTATTGTATGCATATAGAGCGTACATCCCCCTATACGTTCTAAAAACTCCCTAACATTCAATTTTGGAGCAAACAAGGACCTAAATGCTGAAAAGACTAAAGTGTCCTATAACTAAATAAAAAATAGGTAAACAACTAATTAACTATGAAATGACTAAAGTGTCCCTCTTTTTTTTTTTTCATCATCACTGCCGGCAGCAAGCATGGTGCTTTTTTTTTTTTGTTCATCATAACTGCCGGCAGCAAGCATGCTGCTGGTGATGAAGCCAGTCGCCGTTGGCAGCAACAGACCAGGTCGCTGCCGGCCTCCTCTCATTTTGGCGAGGTCGCCGGACCTTGCAGCGACCAGCTGCTTGTTCCTCATCGGTAGTGACCCAAGGTCGCTGCCCTTCTTCTGCCGATCAACCAGGTCGCCGAAGTGCGAGTGTGCGACCTGGTGAGTACCATGGGCTGCGGTGACCCAAGTTGTCGTCCCTCACCAGGTGTGTTGGGTCACTAACAGTGACCCAACTCCTCCACATTGCGACACAAGGTTGCTGCTACGGTCGCTGTTCCTCTCACGGCAACGCGGTGGCTTGGTTTAGCTCGCCGAACTTGGGTTCACCGGATTGCATTGGGTTGAGTAGCTCGAAGCTTCGCTAGGCTAAGGAGCTTGCTGGTGTAGTCGATGAAGCACTCGGTTAATCGGACTGAGTGAGACGTGTCGTTACTGAGAGTCACGCTAGCCTCATCGGAACTGGAGTGTGCCTTGAACTTGTAGCTATTGGGTCTCGTTTGATCACTGCGCTCGGTTGGGTACTGTAGCTTTTTTGGGTCAATCACCGCCGTCGTTTCACTGTAAGGGTATTTTTGGAATTTTATGTGACTAAATTTTTAACGAAACAGTGACCTCAAGCCCTTCTTTACTCATTTTTTCAAACTTATATACACAACATAAATGATAGGGGTGTTATTTGCCCAAAATGTAAACATTAGGGGTGTTTTTCTCACTTCGCCCTTCTTAAATTAATGTTGGGCTAAAATCACAAAACCCCTCTCTTGTTTTCAAAAACGTCATAACCCCCTCAATTATCAAACAACCCCCTGAACTAGAAAAAAGTATCACGTTGCCCCATTTCCGTGACGGAACTGTTAAGTTATTGCGAAATGATAATAACGCCCTTGATAGTATATTAATATTTTATTAAACTGAAATTATAGTGTGAGAAGGGCAATTTTGTCATTACGAATTATAAGGTTATTTTGGTCAGCAAAATGATGCAACTGTTGCATGTGATTGTCACGTGATACGATTCCATTAGTTTTAGACCTGAAACAAACGGGGAGGGGGTGATATGATAGACTATTTAAAATATCAAGGAGTAATATGATAGTTTCTTTAGTTGAGGGGGTTAGTTGATAGTTTTTAGAAACAAGAGGGGTTTTTTTATTTATTTATGATTTTAGCCCATTAATGTTTGACACCCAAATATCTTCTGACTATATTTTTGTACAGCTCGAGTAGATTGGATTTAGTCTGTTTATTTCCCTAGATGGTTACCTTCGTGTTCCCTGATTTGAGAGTTGAGATTGGGTGTCTGTTGCATACTCTTGATGATAATTGTTTTATCTTTATTGAATAAAATGTCTCATAATCAATTTATTACAGGGTCAGTATAGGTCCACATTAGTTTGTCCTGTTTGCAGAAAGGTCTCCATCACATTTGATCCTTTCATGTACCTATCGTTACCTCTACCTTCAACAACAATGCGAACAGTGACTGTGACAGTCGTCAGTACTGATGGAATTGCTCAGCCATCTCCATTTACTCTTACTGTGCCCAAGCATGGAAAGTTTGAAGACCTTATTCGGGCTTTAAGCACTGCATGTACTTTAGGGGTTGATGAGACCCTCTTGGTGGCAGAGGTATATTTGCAGTAGCTTTATTTAGACGAAGAACTGATTGGTGTAGTTGTATGTATTCGTAATTGTTAATTTTCATATTGAGCTCTGAAACCATGTAGTTATTTACAGATATACAACAATCGCATTATACGGTATCTAGGGGAACCAACTGATTCGTTAACCTTGATCCGAGATAATGACAAACTGGTGGCTTATCGGTTACCAAAAGATAATGAGGTCCCCATGGTTGTTTTTATGCATCAGCGGATGGAAGAGTAAGTTTAATTTTTAATTTGCTTCTTAGATTGGTCTTTATTTTGATGTGTTTTTTATTTGATTTAATTTAAATTTCTATGCAACTTAAATTATTTACCTTTTTAATGTATTTTATAGGTTCTAGTATAGAAAAACTTATTTTCTGTATAGTTTAAATGTCCAATTTTTTCATTTAAGAAAATGATGGCAATATTGGGGATTATGAATGTAAATGCAGGAAAATGTGTTAATAATATAGAAATGTGGTTTTAATATTTGCAGACCAAGATATAGCAACATACTTGTGCATCCACATTTATGAAGTTATTGTAGTTTTCTTTTAGTTAAACAATTATAATTGATAGGGGTGCACACGGCGAAGTTCATCCCAGTGCTGGGATGAACTGGGACCAAACAGATCCCAGCTGTTCCAGGGATATACTGATAGTAGAACCGAACCGAAATGTTGGAACCTGTGGAACAGAACCAAACTTCACACGGCGAAGTTCATCCCGGTGCTGGGATGAACTGGGACCAAACAGATCCCAGCTGTTCCAGGGATATACTGATATTAGAACCGAACCGAAATGTTGGAACCTGTGGAACAGAACCAAACTGAACCGTAGAAGATCAGTTTAGTTCCACGGTTCTGGGCTTTTTATAATTCAGCCCAATGCCTAGTTAGCCCAACCTTACAACTATGCAGGAAACAGAAATAAAATCTGAAATAAAGGCCAATGACTAGCGAGCACAAATAAATATTGAAACAGCACTGAATGCAATCATAATATCACTATCCCGGAGATCCAAATGGTTGGTGTGTATCAACTAGAGGTGCAATTTGCTTTAATATGATTCCTGTTTGGTGCCAGCCAAGAGCCAATGTTACCAAACCAACCTTGAATAATAGTTAAAGCTTGCAGCAATAGCACACTGGAAATTAAGGTGGCAGCAGTGGTTAAATATAAATTCAAGCAAACCTATGAAACTTATAAAGAATGACAAAGAACTTCTAAGACAGCCCAATGTTTATTTAACATTTCATCAGACAAACTTAAATTCAAAATATCCAACATTCCCGAATCCTCAGACGTTTAACAAGAAAGTACTTCCCAAAAACATTTAAATGAAAAATCTACAAGTACTCAAAACAACTAAAAACATGTATGTTTCAACAATTGACAAAAACATCCCAAGGTCCAAAAACCTGTTTGCACTAGACCTTTCCCCTCCTCAATCCCATAGGCATGCACTGAAAAGTCACATTAAACAAACTCTTTAGCAATTAGTAATAAAGTGATTAATCAAAATTATTAAGCATATCAATAATTTGAATAATGTACCGTTAAACATGACATTTTAATACCAAACTTGATTTCAAATTTCTCAAACAGTAGTTAGACTGCAAAAACATAAGATTATATTAAAATCAAGAACACAATACTTTAAAAGTAAATTATGACAAAATGAATATTACCTTATTCAGGACTTTCAATTTCAAGTATACTTTCTTCCACTTGAATTCTGAGTGGTGAAGGATGTAACTAATCTTGTGCACTAATTAAGCATTCCACATGGTTAGGGGGTAAGAGAACTACGTAACTGATCAAGGATACAACCTCCTGGAGTATAATTGTTGCTCTCTAATTGCCTATTTGCTCTTACTATATGCATTTATATGTTTAGCGAGCCCTAGTTGAGTTTATATAGCTTTTCTCTTCTCAAGATCTAGGGTTTAAGAGTTGGAAACAGAATAGGAAACTAGTTCCTGCAGGTTTTGATCAATATCAATTCACCACCTTGTTCTATCAGTCCAAACTCCCAGTTCTTTATACCTTTAAATTTTCAGTTAAAAATGTGTTCATATGTAATCTAAAATATATGTAATGCATCTCAAACATGTATTTGATGTACATGTATATGATTAAATCGTAGTTTGTAAGTTAGTTATGCAATGGTGAAATTATCTTTTTACCCTTCATGATCAAATTTCATCTTCAAAATCCATGGATCATGAGGTATATCTAACCCTAATTAACTTAACTAACATCCAAAAATAAACAAAGTAAAATCAAACAATAAAGGCTCTAGCTTTTGTAACTAAATTTGCCAATGCCAAGTCCTAATGAGTAACATACTCGGTCACTAGTAGGCAAGTAGCCTAGTTACTTAATTGGTGATAAATTATGTAGCAGAACTAAGTAACCTTCTACATCAAATTAAAATTAGAATAATGCCCCAATGACTCAAAATTTCTAAGAAAACCCTATGGTCAATTAGTTTCTGAGGCTATTGAAATTAAACTCGGAACTAAGTAACCCTTATGCGGGTGGCAACTGATCCATTGATTTGAACGCCTTTTTGTGCAAATATTAGTATAAATAAATTTCCGATGAAATTGTGATCACCCACTCAACCTGGATCTATCCAAGCTGATTCACATATTAAATCAATGTTTTGTTCACCGTACTTGAATGCTCTTGGCATGATAAATAACATAGGGTTGAAGGTTCATGAATTTTCATTTGAACAGCCCGCCTTTTGACTTGTTATCAACTGATCACGGATATATCAGTCATGGGACTGTTAATTTGGTGATCATTTGTTAAATAATGATTAATTTTTATTTCTTGATTGCTAAATCATGCATACTTGCTGGTAGATGCTAGGTCAATGTCAAGACATGAAGTACTTCAGCTGACTCAATATCTCTACCATAATCTGCCTGAACCCTTCATCTTAGTTCTTGGGCTTCTTTTAATTTGAATATTCTTTTTTTGGTAGTAATACCCCTCTCCCTCAGCTTTCAATTACAGATCTCTAATAAAAACTTATTGCCACTTTGCCAGGCATTATATCTCTGGGAAGCAGACAAGAAGCTGCAAGGCCTTTGGAATTCCTCTTGTAGGAAGTTGTAAATTTGTAAATGGATCTGATATTCATTGTCTGTATCTGAAATTACTCAGACCATTCCTAATGTCCTGTGACGATTCTGTAAATGGTTATGATAACATCGAGAGCAATGCAACTGAAGAAATGACAGCGATGGTGGACGGCACAAGTCCCCTTTCAGGTTGCAGTGCAGACTCTGCTGATAGGAAAGGGTTTGATACACATTCTAATGCTGAATTAGAGTTTTACTTAACGGATGAGAAGGGGACAGTTAGGGACTCCAAGGTTGTTATGAATAAGCCAGTAACATTCACAGCTCTGCATAGGCGATTGAGTGTCCTTGTGTGTTGGCCGGATAAAATGGTGGAACAGTACAATACACATCTTCTTAGCTCATTACCGGAAATTTTCAAGTCCAGCTCCTTTGCAAAAAGACCTCAAGAGTCTGTTTCTCTGTACAAATGCCTTGAAGCATTCCTGAAGGAGGAGCCTCTTGGACCAGAAGACATGTGGTTAGTGTGTACATTATTAGTTTTCTAAATTCTTCTGGAAATAGTTTTCACCTTGGATAGCTAGCATTTATTATCTTACATATTTGGGAGTGTCATGAGAATTTGTTCTTTTTGTTGGTTTATGCCTCCTCTTCCTGCCTCTTTAAAACAGCCCATATGTTTAGGAGACATCTAGTAAGACTCATTTTCCGTGATGATCCTCTTCTTGACTAACTAATATTGTTCATGCTCTACCCCTTAAGCAATTCGTATATAGGGGTATTTTTACAAGTGAGAAAACTACTTTTTTTTATTTTTTAAAATTCTTTTGATGGACAAGTCATTATGGGACAGCCAAAATGAAAGGAGGACAATCTTTTTTTTGGGAAAACTGAGTAGAATTCTTGTAACATTCTACGTTTCGGTTGCCAATTGAAATACTCAACTCATTACTATTGTCATTCCGATCATCATATTGTGACCCGAATTTTGGTTTGGCTTGGATCGTGTTGCAACCTGTTTTCAGCGTCATTGGGAAATTTTACCTGTTCTCTTGCGGGTCATGGACCCTGTTTAGCAGGGATGGACCTAGAAACTCAACGTCATTGGGAAACTATTTCTTTTGTGGCCAACATATCAGTCCATCAAGCATATATCTAGCCTTCCTCTCTTACAAAGGGAAACATAACTTGACGGGAAAATAATTCTTCTGTTGTATAATGTAAAAAAAGATTCATCTTTATTATTCTTCTCTTTCCCTTTATTTTTTTAATGACCTATATTTCTATGTTAATTGTAGGTACTGCCCTATCTGCAAGAAACATTGTCAAGCGAGTAAAAAGTTAGATCTTTGGAGACTGCCAGAGATTCTGGTTATTCATTTAAAGAGGTTCTCATACAGCCGGTTTTTGAAAAACAAGCTGGAGGCATATGTTGACTTCCCTATCCATGATCTTGATTTATCGACATACATTGCCCACAAGAATGGTCAATCATCTAATCGTTATATGCTTTATGCAGTTAGTAATCACTATGGTGGCATGGGCGGCGGTCATTATACTGCATTTGTCCATGTAAGTGGTGTTTCATTGCTTTATATACCTGCTATGTTTGAATTTATTTTATCTTTGAGGACAGCTTAAATTTGTTCTGCATTTCATATAAAATTTTAAGTAAATCAACATCAGAAATAGATATAGTAAGTAGTAACTTTGAAGAACTATCATTATAATTGTTCAAAGTTATTGGGTTTTGCTGATTTTATTATGCATGCTTGTCTGTGCACTTCTGCATGAAATTTCCTTGAAAATAGTGAATGTTCAACAACAAAAGTATGCTAATTTACAGTAATACTGGTCTTTATACAATAGAAGAATACAAAGACTTACTGAATTCAAACCTATAAGAGTTATGCTTAATCCCAAAGATATGTACTCCCATTTCCAAGAACAAGGGCATTTGATCCTTATCATTCATTAGTACGACTACAACAGAACGTAATAAAAGAGTTCACTGTTCTGAAATTGCAGACATCAGTAGCATGTCTTGTGAATAATGAACTGATTGCAGTGCTGATATTCTGCTGTTTCTGTTTTTTTTTTTTTTTTTTTGACATAGTCCAATTCCTGCAGCAATGTTTTCTAATTTACTGTTGAAGTGATTTTCCTGTTTGGTCATTAATGAATGTAATTCTGTCTACCAGCATCTAGTCGATGAACTCTCTCTCTCTCTCTCTAGATTTTTTCTTTTGGCCTGGTGACAATGGGCTACATTACAGGTGGCAAGCCTCACCGTAATTACCACTCCTGCCTGACACTTGCCGTGCTAGAGAATAGGTCTATTGATGGTATAATTAGAAACAGGTCCATTACATACTATCAAGAGATTTACCATCAGGCTAGCTAATACCTTATGGCTTACTGCCTTTCAATAAACAATTTTGCGCCTTTGTTAGTATGGTTGTTTACTGTTGGAAAAAATCAACAGTTGGTTTTCTCTCTCTCTCTCTCTCTCTCCATAAATTGGTTTCAATATCTCTATTAGGACTTGGATTCATTGTTGGCAATTTTCGTGAAAAAAAAGGTTAAGTTTGATTTTTTAAATATTTATTTTGAATCAGTGTTGGTCTAAAAGTTGTCTTTATTTATCTTTTGAGGTGTTCATGAACATTCTTATACAAGAGAATACAAATTTTGATAAAGATCAGATGCTGATTACAAAAGGTTCTTCAACTAGGGATTGAGAATGATTTGATCACACTTTTAGATAAGTTAATATTTTCTATAAGGTTAATAAGAAGTTAAAAAAACTAACTTGGTTCGATTGAAAAAGTGTCTTTGACACAAATAGTGGGTCGGTCAAAGTGCTTGCCTACGGTGATTGCTTTGCATGGTGAACTGGTGTTTTGGCAATTGCTGCGGAAATGAAGTAAATTGCGGGTAGCTATAGCATTAACTGGATAGCATTGACTACTGATTTTGAGGTAGGAATATGGACTGATGATAATGCTGTCATTAGAGGTAATTCAACAGGTTGATGATTTTAGGATAGAGTTTGTAACTAATTAGGTAACCTTGTAATTTTTCTTGACTGCAGTATATTATTAATTGATTGGGCTTTTTGTCTAAAAATTTTGATGTCTTTTTATTCCTTTATTTATTTTATGGTTGATTGAATACCTGAACTCGATTAAAATTGAACTTGATAGTTGGTAAAATTAAAAACAGCCAAAGCAAAAGAAAAGACTCGTTTGTCTACCTCTAGGTCTAGTCTTAATTTTTCCTGGGAGTTCCGTATGTGCATAGCTCTCGTTATCAATTACTTTCTTTTGTTTTAATGATATTATGCTGCAGTTAGAAGGTCAGTGCTCAAATATGCTGTTTAACTTGATATGTTCGATGAAAGGTTGCTGCCACAGTTCACATTTTTTATGGATTGTTGATTTTTTTATTTTTTATTTGGTAACAGAATTATTCAATTATTTGCATTTGTAATCTTTCTCTTGGTCCTAGCCAAGGTTAAATTTCCGTCTGATTATTGCTATAAGGGTTCCATTCCTTCAGAGGCATATGTCCTTGTGCTACATGACCCAATAATATCTCATTCAAGGCATTTATGAGAGAATGTTAGTATTCCTGGATGACTGAACTTGTTAATTTTACTACTCTTTGCTGTAGTAGTTTTGTATTTTTTTCACATTCCGGAGTCATAATGAAAACTGGAAGTCCAGTTAGGTTAAGAACTATAAATTTAAGCTTTATGCCCTCGCTTAATTATATTAAAATGATTTGCACACATATAATAACTTACTGTCTATTAAATCTGATTGTTTTGCTTGTTTTTGTTTTGATGCAGCATGGGGGTGATTGTTGGTATGACTTTGATGACAGCCATGTTTCTCCCATCAGCGAGGACAAGATAAAAACTTCATCTGCTTATGTTCTTTTCTATAGAAGAGTTGCGGAAAGTTAACACGAGATTACAAATTTATGATTTTTAGGCTAGATCACCTTTTTTTTTATTTTTATGTTAGCTTAGTCTTCTTACAGTATAATATCAAAGGTAGCATTCTTTGGTCTCTGGCATTATTTAGTTCCGATTGGTTGAGTTTCCGGCAACGGCGGTAAAGGAAGAAAGGTTGTAAGGTTTAGCATTGGCGCCAAGGGGGACACTGTAACATAGTCACAACTGAATAGCATCTTCTATATCTGTAACCCTTTGTAAAGGAAAATACATTATTAATCCATTTTTACTAATAGACTGAAGGGGTTGTATATCCCACTCCAACAATTTTATTATTATTATTTTTAATTTTTTTTTTTTTCCTTCGTACCATAGTGTATTTTTATGTTATTGACTTTATTTGGCAGGCCATTTCTGCAATTATTTTATTTGTGCTCAGAATATAATGTTGCTTAATTTTTGCTATCTTGTCATTAATATTACGTGAATCGATGGTGGACCCTATTTAGAAGAAACCATAAGAAGCCAGTGATTAAATGTAACACACAAAACTAAGGAAAAAAGTCTTGGATAAGGTACATCCTTCATTTTATAATGCTTCTTTTGATAGGCGGGAATGAAATTGCTTTTGGTTGGCGGGAAATTTTTTTTCGCACCAATAATCATAAACCCACTTTTTTCCTTTCCTAATTTAACAAAATCATTTTTTATTTTTATGTATTTAAAGTTTTTAAAACCACTTTTCTCCGTATTTGAAGCTTCCAAAAATTAACTTATATATATATATATATATAATGTTTCCTAATATTAATTAATATTTGATTCTAGAAACTCTTAATGCCCCAAAAAATATTGTTATCAATAGAAATTAAAATATTTTTTTCATGCTTTTCATATTATGGGAATTAACATTGATTTATTGAAACGTTGAGATGGTTGGTGGATGTTTCATCGCAATCATCCAAAACTATTTCTCGAATGGATAAGGATTTTTTTTTAGGAAAGGAGAGCATTCACAAAACTGTCCTCGGTGTTTAGACTATCATCGAGAAGCTCAACGGTCATGCCCAATTGCAAATTTGAAATTCATAAGTTTCCCTCACACACAAATTTAAATATATATATATATAGCTCCTGGTATAATCAATCAATCAATTATCACTAAATTAGTTCATGCTAAGATTCATCTGGTCAAAGTAACTAAGAATTGGATGAGAATGGATATGACCAAATACTGCAATATATTGGTCCAATGTATTATTGTATTAGGAAACTTCAAATCAGGATAAAAGTGGTTTTAGAAACTTTGAGAATACGTAGAAGAATGGTGTTATTGCATATGGAAAGGAGAAATGAAGGTTTGCGATATTGGTTAGATATAATTTAACATGTCAATGATTATGAGTGAAGACTGGCATCATCATGATGTCATGATGACATCTCCCTTTATTTACATAAAATTAATTAAATGATGTATCCGACTGTCTGTCGAACTCTTTATCATTACTCGTAATTTAATGATTGGCGTGTAGAAAATTTTTTTGCTCACCAAAAACTTTCTTCACACCAAATATACTGTTTATAAAAAAATATAATTACCAAAAAAAAGTAATATTTAATGTGTGTTGTTTGGAGGAGTCTTTAACCCGTATTCAGAATCCGCGAGCATCATTTCACATTCCCTAATAACATCTAACTCCCACCCGTCTTGTTCTCCCTCCTCGGCATCCCTCCATTGAAGCATACATAGTTGTTGACATTTGGACATCCATGATGGAAAGTGCGTTTTTTTTTATAGGTAAAATGGAAAGTGCTTTTCATTACAAGCAAGGGAGAGAAAGAGATTGGGGCATTTTTGTCTTTTGCTTATACAGATATCCTTCCCATTTTTTTTTTTTTTTTTTCCTTCTTTTAATATGATTCAATTATTGGAGGATAAATATGTAAATAGCACATCAGATATATTTTTTTAAAACTTTTATCCACCAGTACCGTTCTTATATTAAATATAATGGGAAATCTAGTTGTATAAAAACAAAAATACTTATCACTAAAACATCCATAATTAGTAATTACATCCAAATAAGAGTCCTAATCGTTTTAAGCAGTAAAAATCCACTAAAAGACTTGTTTGAGAGAGTCCTACAATTAATCTGACATTGATCAACATCTCTTTTTATTTATTTATTTTTCTTAAGAAACATCTGGATTAATTTTTCTAATTATAAACCCAATCTTTTAAAAATATAAAATTTACTCATTTTTAAAAAATTCATTTAAATTTCAAAACATTTATAAACCCATTTATCGACAATTTGTTTTGATTTAATGTGTTGAAAAAACAGAATTAATGCAACAAATAATTATTAGGACAGAAAGTTGCCTCGAAAATAAACAAATAAATAAAAAAGGACATTAAAAGAAACATAAAATATAAGAACGAAAATAATAAAGAAAGAAGACTGAATGGAGCAAGATGACGAAACAGCCCACGATCCATTCACCGTACCGGACTCCAATCACCCATTCCAAACTAGTTAATTTACGGACGCCTACATACATATTCCAATCCAGTTAATGGAATTCCTTGACGTCCAAGTCTTACTTTTGCGTCTAGTCTTATGAATCATATATAGAGAGAGAGGAGAGCGTTTTCGCGCAGTTGTTTTTTATTTTTTGCTTTTTGAGTTCGTTCGAGGAGAGAGAGAGAGAGAGAGAGTGAGAGCGCGGGCGGGAAGAGTTGAAGCTTTCGAAAATGGCGAGCAAAGAAGAGATGGACACCAACAACGAACAGGAGATTCGAGGCGTCGTCGTAGCCATCGATCTTCCTGCTCCGAGTGGCTGGACGAAGAAGGTTCGATCTTCTCTGTTCTCTGCTCTCCAACTCTAATCCTCTCGCTACCGTTTTCTGCCCTAATTTACTTTCAGTTGTTTGCGTTCTTCAATTTATTGTTATAATCGTTAGGTCTTTCTCGCTGTTTGTTTTGCTCTGTGTTTTGTGAACAATTTCAAGTATTAATGAACAATTTCAAGTATTAACAAATAACTTAAAGTATTAACAAAGAGAATTACTGAACTATATATATATATATATATATATATATATATATATATTATTTTATTATTATTATTATTGTGGGGGATGTAGACTAGTGGTGAACACAAAAAAAAAAATGGAACTTAATATAGAAACTAGACTATTTTTTTTTCCTGAATGAAAACTGGACACTTCATTTACTATTTTAAATTACATTAATAATTAAAAAATTACTTATAAAAAATATATATAGCTTTTTAATAAAAAAAATGTTATTAGTATAAACAAGATCTTAAGCTTTGTTGGAAACTTGACCTGGGTTTATAATTCTATAAGGCAATAATGCATGCACATATTATATGATTTTTAGGCTGCTGCAAAGATGGTATATGTATAAAGTGGTTGCATATGTTAGCATATGTGAACATATATCTTTGTTTAGGTGATTAGGTCACACAATTAAGAATCATTGTTACTCGTTAGTATGTCTGAAGGAATTTTTTCACTGTAAATTGATTTTTTCCCCCTTGTAAATAGCTATCCTCTTTCATTTGTCAACTAATTTTCATAGTTTGATTTATATTATTCTCTCCTTTTTCTTCTTCTATATACTCACATGTTGTATCTGTAGTTTTTAACTAAAGAATTAAATATATATAGATTTGAAAACTTTAGTCAATAAGAAAATAATTGTGTATTATAGATGGGTACTAATATTTCATAGTGTGTCCCAACCAGACAAGTTGCTGCCCTCTAGTGCCCATCTGAGGTGGCCAATGGACCACCCTCCAAACTCAATGGATCACGCACCTACTAACCGATGAGAGGTCATCCCTACTAACGGGCTAATGTGATCCAATTACAAATGCACACATAACCTACAATTACTAATTCAAAAAAGTGATAATTAAGGACAATAAATTTTTTTGGAATAAATTTAGCCACCCTCTCTGATTTCCTTATTTATCACTTCTTGATTTTATAATTGCAGAGTATGTGTGCATTTGTAATTGGATCACATTAAATGACTTACTCACCGGTGAGTCGGCAAGTCTTGTCCGAAAAATAAAACACTTAACAATTTGCTGACATTTGGTTGCCATCTGCAAGAATCATAACTTGCTCTATTAAAGTGCATCTATGATTATCTTTTTCAATAAGTAATAAACATAAGAAAAGCTAACATAGAGTGGTGGATCATAATTTATGTTAACAACATAAAAACCATAAACTCATCTCTCCTAAAGATCAGCAAAATAATTAGTTATGTTCCCCCCAACAACACACGCACACCCCTCCTCCTCAACCCAAATAATAATAAAAAATAAAAAATAAAAAATAGAAGTCAAAGAAAAATGATGACATGTATTGTGGGGATGTAGACTGATAGGTGAAGGGCTTTGGATGTCTTACATGAGCAAATGAGCACATAAGGAAATTTGGAACTTAATATATAAACTAGACTATTAATATTTACTACTTTAAATTATCTTTTTGATTAAAAAATGTTATTAGTATAAACAAGATCTTTAAGCTTTGTTGGAAACTTGTCTTCAATTTGCACTTTTATGTGTTATTATGTGTGTGTGTATATATACACTAGGAAGTATGAACACTTTTACGAGGGTGTCATGTACGTGTTGGTCACCAACACTTCATGGACACTAGACACGTGTCCATAATTTATAAATATATTTTACTATTTCAGACCCTTGACGGACACATCTTGGACACTTGGTCAACACAGTCCGGAGATCGGACACTAAACCAGCATCTCACACTTTTCGTCTTATTTTAAGCAAACATGTGACAATTCTAGAAACTACATTATGAACATGCATCAGACTATCAGAGTCTTCAATCTCTTGTTCTTTAAAATATTGACATTGAGCACATGTCACAGTATGTAATAAACAAAAACATAACTGTAATGACAAGATAAGAGAGTAAGGATGTGGATGATAGAGGGCTTGATTCCTTGGTTTGGAAGCCATCTCCTCAGGGGAGGTTTGATGTTCGCTCTTTTTTTCTGTGTCTCGTTGGGGAACTATTTTCCTGTGGAAAATGGTTTGGCGTTCAAAGGCTCCTTTGTTTGGACTGCGGCTTTGGAGATTTTTTTAACTCTGGACAATTTGAGAAAGAAAAGACAGATCATAGTCAACTGCTGTTGTATGTGTAAGAAGGATGGAGAATCTGTGGATCACCTTCATTTGCATTGTCCTATGGCTTATGATTGCTGGAGCCTTATTTTTGGTTTGTTTGGTATTCGTTGGGTTATGCCTTGGTCTTCAAGGGAGTTGATTGATAGTTGGAGGGGCCAAAGGGTGGGGGTTCATGCTCGAGATTGTTGGAAGGTGATTCCCCTTTGTGTTTGGTGGAGCATTTGGAAAGAGCATAACAAAAGATCTTTTGAGGGGGAGGAAACCCCATTGGGACGCTGAAATTTTCTATTATTAGTTCCATTTTTTGTTCGGTAATGGGAAGAAATTGAAATTTTCTATTATGAGATAGTGGACTTTTTGGGTGCTTTGGGTCCGACGGGCTCTATGTTTGGCTTTCTTGTATTTTTCTTTGGTTTTTGTATTTATCTTGGGATGCGTTCCCCTCTTGATTGCTTTCTAATACATTTTATTTATATATAAAAAAAAGTGTATGCTTCTTAGTAAATATAGATCTATTTTTTTCATTTTATTTTTTTAATGGGGTGTAACGATGTGAGAGTGGTATTTTAAATCTTCTATGTAAATGGGGACGGGATACGAAGTTCGAACTTGCTCCAGTTTTCAGACGATTGTAGGAAGAAGTATTGCTAAAATGGCGGGGTATGGTTTAGAGATACTTGTCCCAAACTTGCCCAGTTGGCATCCCTAATCATGATGTTGACACTCAGCCTTTAACTGGTGATTGCCTGGTTTATTAGGAGTTGTTTTTATAGATACAATAAGTTCAATAGGTACACCTCTACACCGGAGAGTGGGAGTACTTTTTATGCAGCACTGGAAGCTTTGTTAATATGTAGTTTAAGCTAAAAGAATGTATACCTTGAGATCTTAAAACTCTTTCAACCCTACAGATTTATGTGGCTTGCAATCAGAGGATTTGGATCCAAGAATAACTGGGCGTATGTGAAAGGTTAATAAGGGAAAACGGTTCTAATCATCTTAAGATCTGGACCATATTTTACAATCTCATTTTTTTAGGATGGAAAAATACAAAAATTGTTGAAAAAAATTCACTAACTAGATGGTACAAAAATATTAGGAACTATGGACCATGAGTCATTGCATTTTGGTTCTTTATGCCTATGTTACATGGACTTTGAGTACGTGCAGGGACGGGTCTACAGTGGGGACATTCTCCCCCACTGATTTTTTTTGTTATTGCATTTTATATCTCTAAATTTGTACTTTTTTTGCATTTCTACTAATAAAAATTTGAAATTGCCCCCATTGAACCCCCCCCCCCCCCCCCCCCCCCCCCCCCCCCCACACACACACACACACACACACAAACACAACACACCCAATATAAATATCTAGATCTGTCCCTGAGTACGTGTGTCAGGTGTGGGTATGTATCCAAGCATCGGATGTGCCAAATTCGTAAACAGAAGGACCAAAGGGACTGCCAAATATTCATATTGTTTTAATATATTTATTCTATATCAACTAAGGAATTTTTTTTTTTTATTCTATTATCTTAGCAAAAATAATATCTTTATACAACATCGTGTCTAATATAGGCATTTCACTCATTTTAAAACAATAATAAAATGAAATTGGATTATATGATATACTTTTTAGGTGCATATTCAACCAAAAGTGTTGGACACATATTCTAGACCCTTGTCCGTGTGATGCATGTCCAACACGGGTACGTCATATACTTTTGAAGAGTCTATGTAACATAGCTTTATGCATGGATTAAGTTATATGCTTGTTAGACTAGCATATTCATGTTTCTTATTAGGGTTTGGATATTCTTGCGTCAAGTGGTAGCATTGTAATGCAAGTTTGGTTCCACCCCTCTCTCCTTCTCGCTTTTATTTATTTATTATTTTTTTTTATGCGACTATTTGTCCCAATATTGTGAGTTCAGAGTGTGTTGATTTATCTTTCTATCTTCTGAAGGGATACATTAATTTTTTTTCTTATTGTTCTTTTTGTAATTGTCATCACAATTTTGAAGTCTTGGCAATACCTTTAATTATTTTAGTATAAGAAAATTGAATTTTGTTGATATACTAGTTTTTGCCAAAAATCTCTTTCTCATCCGAATCCGATGTGGGACAAGATCCCTCTAACATTCTCCCCCACCCGAACATGCAATGCCCTCTTTGCTGTCGGACCACCTTGCTTGGACCCAGGCACGGTGTTGTCAAAGGTGCGCCTAGGCTCCAAGCTCGTATAGGCACCTATGTTACGTGGACTTTGGTACGTGTGTCGGGTACGGGTATGTATCTATGCGTCGGATGTGTAAAATTGCTAAATAGGACATACGGACATTGCTAAATATTCATTTTACTTAATTAGTTTATTTTATTTTCTAGAGTAAAGTAATGTTTTTATCTAATATAGTGTTCAATCTAGGATTTTAACTCATTTTAAAGTAATAATACAATATAATTGAATGATTGTATATGTTTTTTAAGTACATGTCCAACCAAAAGTGTTGGACACATATCCTATACCCAAGTTCGAGTAGTATGTGTCTGACACGGGTACTTCACTACTTTTGAAGAGTCCATGTAACATAGATAGGCATAACACTTGCACCTAATGTGCCCAGGTACACCTTTGACAACATTTGTGCCTTTAATATGGAATATAAATATACTTTAATAGTAATTTAAATATTCAATTGTGCACCTCGCCTCGCTCAGGCGTGCGCTTATGATAACATTGCTTGGGCACGCCCAAGTGGGTGCTAGGCGTGACATCGGATCAAGGATTGCGTTTGGTTCTGATACCAACTGAAACAGGTCTGGCACTTTCCTTCCGACCCAAAAGCTTAATTTGTTGGGTAGTGTTGCATACACGCCTATATATACTTAATCTTTTTCCCATCTGATGTAGTATTGCCAAATAAAATTTATAATGATCTATGGAACTCTTCACAAAAACTGGGCTTTTCTAGATGGGCTTCAGTTTCACGTCCAAGTGTTTAAAATTTTTAATCTAGTTTAGTTAGGCATTTTGAATTCCTTATTTGTATATGCTTGTATATCTATTGTACTCCCTCCGTCCCAAAATATTTGTCCATCTTTCTATTTTGGGATGTCTCAAAAAACATGTCCCATTCCAAAATTGAATGTACTATTTTTTATAACATTCCTAAACTATCCTGTTAACTAAACAACTACACTAATTACGGAACACTATTTTGTCTTTTAGTAAGTGTATATTTGAAACTTCACTCTAATCAATATAATAAAAAAACTATTAAAACTCTACTACCATAAAAAGTTGGATTCCCCATGCAGGACATGCATTTTGGGACAGAGGGAGTAATAATTATCTTAGTTTGTTGGTCCTTTCAGAAGTATGATTGTGAACAGGGATGGGGCTAGGAATTCGTTAGAGGGGGCACAATATACTTGGGTACCAATCTAATAGTTAAAAAAAAATTCTCCGTCCATGATTGTGAAGTGTCCCTTGCCGATCTTTTCATTTAGATGGTGTTCTTTTATACATTATCTAAAATGGAAGTTTGCTACTAAACATTTCCTATTATCATTTCATATGATAATGGTAACTAAATCCATTGTTTGCTAGTGTCTTTCCTTTTTCAAAGTCGGGGCTTGTGCTCCCTTGTTTATTTTATGTATCTTATGGGATTAAGGCGTGGATGATGATGGTGACTCTTTTGCCTACAAGTGTGCTTGGTTGTTGTTGTTGTTGTTCCTTTTAATTTTCTTATATATTATTATTGGAAGGAAGGGGGTTAAATCAAAAGGAATATGTGTTAGTGTGTATTGTGAACCCAAACCAGCTTCAGTAGTCGTTTGAGCTTCTCTCTTGATCTTCTAGTTCCAGTTGTAAAGTAAGAGGCATACAAGTTAGTGTCATGTGCATCCCAAACCAACTCCTTTGGATATCACAAAAATGAAGGTTGGAACAAACTCTTTGAAGCTATTTTGGATGGACGAATTTGAAATAAACAAATTTGGTTTTAACAATTTAAGGAGTGTAATTTAATTTGAATTTAATAGCTTAAAGTTTATATATTAATACAAGACAAATATTTCTAAAATACATGGAAGTTAGAGAGTTAGGTTCGATTTGATAAATTTAGTGCTTTCAAAATTGAGCATGTTAAGTGATTTTACAATTAATTGATCTTGATAATTAAATTTGAGTGTTAATTAAAAACATATTCCACCAAGAAGGAATACGAGTTTGTAAATTTCAACTATGCAGGAGGTATGGAAATGGATTTGAAGAAGGGTTCTCTTCATTTGTTCATTGAGGTAGCTTAAGTCCTAAGCTTTTCTCAAAGTGGAGAAACGAAGGTGTCAAGGACGTGTAGGGGTTTCAACTTTGAGGTGGATGAGAATGGACCATGGCGAAGGAGAGAGACATTGAGAAGCTGTTTGGTTGGGAGAATCAATCTAGAGGTGCGGAATATAACTTAAATTGAAGATTGAGCATCTAGGTTATGGAAGGTGACTTGTGGCTTTAGGGTTGCTCTATTGCTGGATTCTCTAATGATGTTTCGATTCCCATCTCACCATGAAGCTCGTATAGTTTTGATGGAAGGGAAGAGAAGGTGGGAGGAAACAAATTTTTCGTTGGATGTTTGGTCTTTTAGGATGGGTTGTTATGGCATTAATCATTATGGGGAGGAAGGAGCACAGAATGCTGATGTGTGGCTTACCTCCTTTATGCATAGGAGGGGCAACCACATTGGGAAAATTTGCATTGATGGAGAGGATTTGACAATGGAGGAAGATATAAAGAAGGATTTACTATTGTTCTACCAACAACTATGTAAGAAAGTTCCTTTCCTTTTGGTGACCTTCCTTGGCTGGCTTAGAGTTCACTAGCATCTCAGAGGAGGATTGAGAGTGGGTGGAGAGACATTTTGCCTCCAACAGAATTGGGAGGTGGTCATGAAGGAGGTCATAGAATCTTTATGCTATTTTCATGAGTATAGTCAGTTTGAGAAGAGTATAAATGCCTCCTTTATAGGTTTTGAAAAAAGGGCGGATCCATTGATGCCAAGGACTTTAGGCCCCTATTAGCCTGATGCTGGTGGGCAGTGTCTACAAGAGAAAAGAAAAGAAAAAAGAAAGGAAAAAAAAAAAAAAAAAGACTTCGCTTTGAGGATTAGGAGAGTGGGTGACAATTCATGTTGGCGTGCCACATAGTTGTTAAACCACTCAAGGTGCACTAAGGCGCCAAAGGCCTTGTGGAGCCTAAGCTCAAGGCACAAAATAAGGTGCGAGTCTGATCAAAGTTAGGCGTGTGTGTAATAATAATGCATATTTAGACATATTATATTTATATATATATATAGGGGTAAAGTGAGAGAAACACCCCTAACCTTTATCTTGGGTATATAAGTATGTAGTTTTAAAAAATGGGCAAATAAGTGCTTAATTTGTATAATATGTCAGAAAATCACATTTAAGTAGTCATTTTGGTAACAAATTCCCTAAACTGCCCTTTTGGTCTCCCCAAAATGCCCTTATACCATTTTACACATATTCACCATTTCCCTGTTTTTGCAACCCATCTCCCTCACATATAAAGACCAATAATATATATATTGATGGATACAGATAGGAAAACATGTGTCCTTTGTTCTCTTCTTGACTATGTTTCCCTTGCTTAGACCCCAAAGTATTGTAATGTGATTGCCCACCAGCTTGGTCGTTGGGCTCTTAATCACAAACAAGGAGACATTAACCAGTCTATTTGGCTGAATTGGATTCATCAAGCCTCAATGGCTGTTTTCAGTTCCGGTCCTGGGCCTCGTTTGAAGCTCTGTTTCCATTGGTGAAAAAAATAATTAAAAAGCTCCATTTTTGGACGGTATTTATATAAATAGTGTATATATGTTTCGATATATGTAAATACATATTAAACATTTTATTAGTCTTCTACTCCATTTTGGGTCTTCAAATACACCAGTACATAGAAAATAAATCTTTTATTTTATTTTTTTCTTTACTCTTTGGGTTAAATACACAGTATACCATGAACTGCTCTTGAAACTAAATGTATAGAAGATGTGAAACCTATGCTAGGATTTGGGCCAAGCGAGGGGTATCGGAATCAGAAGAGGAACAATGAGAGAAGAGAGTGGCGGATGGGGAAAGCAGGGAGAGAGAAGAAGAGACATTGTCGGCCACAAACCTATTGGGACTGGAAAGCGATAAACATAGGGCTCACAGATATGTACATAGTCTTCTCCGATTCAACAGATTCTTTGAGTAAACGCGGCACACGAACTTAAGTTTTGCAGAGAATGGTAGAGAGAGAGGTGCGAAGGAGGTTAGAGAGAAGTAAGAATGCGACATGATGTCGTTTTTGGTTAGGGTACTTTGGTCATTTTACATTTATTATATTTTTTACTTTTTTTTTTTAAATACATAAAGGCACTTTAGTTTTTAATCTCTCCACTGACAATAGGCCCTTGTTTGAACCTAAAATAAAGATTAGGGACTTTTAAAAACCTATAGGGAGTTATATACTCTATATGCATACCACAGGGTGTTTATCGCCCGTGACCCTATATATATATTTAGAATAGCACTAACTGCAGTAAATGAGGGGGCCATATGGTAACAAAACATTGTCAGATATTTCTCTTGTTATTACAAGGAAATGTGGATAGATTGATCAATGAATTTATATTGCTGCCCTCTGTTGTATCTTCTGTGCCATGTGACCTAGGTGATAAGAAACAAAACCTGGTCAGGTCATAATCCCAACTCCGCTGGATTACAGAAAAGAGAAAAAAGTTGGTGAAGAGATCTTGTAGTTCTTTGAGAGGGATAAGATCTATTGAATATGTATCAAAGAAGCTTCTGAAATAAAGTTTTTACGTAAGGCCTACTTCTTAAGATGCGTCCTGCCTTTATTTGCTCATGCAAGTTTATTCCCAATTGTTGAGGATTTTTCTGAGTGGCAAAAATTGATTTGGCAATAGAATTGTTATATTGAAATTGTCAAAACTAATCATTGAACTGTCATCAGCAAATAGTCGGTAGATAATCTGTTAAACCATTTTCCATAACACTTTAGCTCTTTGTTACTTTTTTTGTTTTTTTTTTCCAGATTGTAATTTATGTTTAATTGTTTGTCTTGTGCAGAGAGAGTTCATTAGTCCTTGCCACTCCAAATCTTTATTTATTTTTTGTGTACTTGGTAAAAAAAAATAGGTTACTGATCCCTTCCATGTGCACAATTTTGGAAGGGAATCAATTGTATTCTTCAATGATAGTGATGCTTCAACATGTCATAAGGCTTTTTTAGACTAGAAATGACTTGATGTGATCAGTCTATATGATTTACAACCTAAACTAAGTGGCTTCTCGTTGCCTAGACTTGCTTCTTTTTCAAGGTTCCTAATGAGCCTCCCGAGAGAGATGTTCTTTCTTTCTTTTTTGATAAAACACGTGATAGATGGTGTCAATTTTGGTATTATATAGCATATTGGTTTTGTTAGCGTTTGACTATTGTTTTATCCATTCTTTGTATATTTTTTGTGTACAGTTCACTCCAAAGAAAAGTGGGACACCTAGGAAGAATGATATAGTATTTGTTTCGCCTACTGGTGAGGAGATCACGAATAAGAGACAGTTAGACCAGTATCTGAAATCTCACCCTGGAAGCCTTTCTGTCTCGGAATTTAACTGGGGCACAGGTATACACCAGTCTCCCTAGGTTGTGCTTGTCTATGTATTGTTTACGCAAAATCCATGCTTAGGATTAAGACTTTGATAAGTATATTACCTAAAAAAGTGGTGTAATGAATTGGTTGACTTGAATCTGCTGCTTTACTTCTGTGAACAGGTGATACTCCAAGGCGCTCTGCAAGAATAAGTGAGAAGTCAAAGGCGACAGAGACACCAGAACCTGAGCCTCCTAAGAAAAAGCAAAAGAAGTCGAGCTCAAAAAAGGGAGCAAGAGAGAAAAAGGACAATTATGATGGAGAAGGTGAGACTGCTGAAGGCAGAAAAGCTGTTACAGAAGAAACGAAAGCATGTGCTGATGTGGAAATGAAGGACGCTGAGGATGCAGGGAACCTTAACAAAGGAGAAGTGGATATCGAGGAAGCTCTTGCAGGTAAAGAAACCGTGAATGACTCTGATGAGAAAACTGAGATGAAAATTGATGAGACGAACATGGAGAAGCTGGGGAATCCAGAAGCCAGCAATGAATCTTCTGGTGCAAAGGAAGAAGATGACGAAGGAGTAGTGGTTACTGAGGAAGCTCCTGCAGGTAAAGATACCGTGAATGACACTGAGCAGAAAACTGAGACGAATATGGAGAAACCGGGGAATCTGGAAGCCAGCAATGAATCTCCTGGTGCAAAGGAAGAAGATACTGTGAATGGCTCTGAGCAGAAAACTGAGATAAAAATTGATGAGATGAACATGGAGAAACTGGGGAATCTGGAAGCCAGCAATGAATCTTCTGGTGCAAAGGAAGAAGATACTGTGAATGACTCTCGGCAGAAAACTGAGATAAAAATTGATGAGACGAACATGGAGAAACTGGGGAATCTGGAAGGCATCAATGAATCTTCTGGTGCAAAGGAAGATGTTGTGCATGAATCAGTTCCGATGCAAGGGGGGGATGAAAAAAATGAGGGAGGAAAGAAAGAGCAGGTGGAGCCTGAAGATCCACCCCAAGTATCAGTGTCTAATGGGGCTGCAAATTCTGTCGAAGAAGAGGGAAGTGTAAAGAATGGAGTTGTTGAGTTCGGTGATGCAAAGGTTAATGAGTCTGTCGTTGGCGAAGTGGGACAGGAGGACCATCCTGATAACGATCCTACCAAAGAAGTGGCCGCCAATGCAGAAGCTAAACCAGATAACGGTAGCATAAAGGAGGACCAGGACACGGAAAAACCTGAAGAAGTGGCCAATGCAGAAGCTAAACCAAATAACGGTAGCATAAAGGAGGACCAGGACACGGAAAAACCTGAAGTGGCCAATGCAAAAGCTAAACCAGATAACGGTAGCATAAAGGACCACCAGGACGTGGAAAAACCTGAAGTGGCCAATGCAGAAGGTAAACCAGATAACGGTAGCATAAAGGAGGACCAGGACGCGGAAATACCTGTGGTGAATCACTCACCCAGTTCTCACGAGCCCGAGACATCTCAAGTTAGCTGTTGAAATAGCTGTAGGCTCTTTATTTTTTGGTCTAACAAACAATGATAATCACCGTTTTGCCAATTACAATACCTTAAGAGTGAGTGATTGATGTTTGACATGCTTTATCCGTTGCGCAGCACCATTCTCAACAGTCAGTAGAACTATGGATGTCATTTTATTCTCTATATATTTCAGCTTATATTGACTGCCAAATTTAATTTACTTTTCTGGTACGAAACCCAATTAGCTTTCAGTCCAATTAACCAAGAGAGTCTTGCTTGCATTCTTTTAAACCCTACTGATCTATCTGTTGATGAGATGACCATGGCCTGGGGGTGTACAAAGAACCGGAAAATATATATATGTGCCTATATTTACCGAATATATATATGCCTATTAATTGCTTGTTGTGGCCCAAGGTATTGGTAAATAATAATAATAATAAAACGGTTCCGGTTCTTGTTCTAATTTTTAGGAACTGTTGAAAACGGTTCCGGTTCTGATTCCGTCATAAACTGTACTAAATCGGGCCGTGTGCACCTTGACATGCTGAAGAGTAGGACTTTTGGAACTTGCTGCTGCCAGAAGCAAGTATTATTATTGAACCATGTGTGATTGCAGGTTTTCTTCCATTTGAGAGGCTTTGAATCCCTAATGAAATTATGGTACCAAACCGGTGTACCGTTACAGAAACTGTTTGGTCGGTTTTGTGGGCGTGCCAATCTCGGGTGAACTTGAAATGTCAATAACCAAAATGTTAAGTAGTCTGAAAGTAAAATGTGTTCAACTATTTTATGTAAGTGAAGAATGACATCATCATAAATTTAATCAAATGTCTTAATATTATCATCACTCATTATATATTTACCACATAATGTTATAATTTTTAACAAATGACCCATCTCAACGGCTTTTGGGTAAATAAGTCCAAGGCATCAACTTATCTAAACGAGGCAATTTCAATTGAATCTTGAAACACACTAGTCCCATATCAGTCTTCTTTCATTCAACTTATCTTCTTTGGAAATTTTAAGCAAATTGTATAACACGGCAATAGACCAATCAAACCTTTAACATCATCCCAAATTACTTCTTTGCCAACAATTCAAGCTTGAGTTGAGTGGATAATTATGATTCTTGTTTGACTTTGTTTTGTTAAGTAAACAATAATCAAATTTTAAGCAAGCAACACGAGTTTAACTCTTTTGAAATTTTTTTTTCCCCCTCCACTTGAGCTTAAATCCTGATCTCCTTTTGAAAAGTAAAAACCTAATACCGTTATCAAGCAAATTCACACTGAATGAATAATGATGTGAAAACAGTACACAAAGACCACAATTCATTATCACGAGTTCCATTGACAGACTATAGAGCTTACATATGCACAATCGGTCTGCATCCAGATTTATCATATATTACTAGAAAATAACATAGTTGAACAGCCTCCATCCAGGCAGGCTAAAGTTGTTGCAAGATCTTGACATTGCAAGGGCGGGTCATCGTCGTCTTTCTTACAAGCCAACAAACATTACCGTGCATTCTCACCTCTTCCGAGGCCTTCAAAAAGACGACACAGATGCTCCGATTCCAATGTTGAAATTGAAGCTAATGCAAGTTAACTGACGCTTGTGTTCATCCTCCATCGTCATCTTTAGAGTGTAGGAGCCCTGTAAAATTTTGAATAAATGAATATGTTTAGGGTAAAAAAGATGATGCTCCATTGTACTGCTGATACATATATAAAGCAAACAATAAATAAATAAATAATTTTTTTTATAAGCATTCCTGTAAAAATTCTTTAAATTTTCTAATAAGATCAAGAGTTGAACAAAAATCCCGAGTACAAATAAGGGAAGACAATATTTCTTTCTCACCCAAATTACCTTGAATGTAAGAGATTCCGGTAAACAGATTGAAGGCCCCAACATTAAAAAGTGTGTGAAAGTTCACATACACAGACACCCACACAAATTCAATTACAGTAACGATGAAAATACAAACAATAACTAAATTCATGTTTAACAATGATTGAAAGCTATTATGAAAGAAAATTATATATGGAACTTCGTAAAGTCCAATTTATATAACTAATGGCAATGAGAGAATGAACAATTGACCTAACTATAAAAATCAAAATTATTAACACCAAAACTAGCCAGTAGTTGATGCGCCGTTTTGGTGTACTTTCAAGGAATTGGTTTTCACATGTCAATGTGAAAAGACAGAATCACAAGAGAGAATGCATTTGACAAATGAGAGTTTCTGGAAAATTAAACTAAAATAAGGAATCAAAAAGCAGTACTGACATTAAAAATGGCAAAAAAAACCGAAGATGCAAAACTAGAAAGAAAAACACATGATGCTAGCCATAGTAACTGAGATGCTTTAATCGTGATTAGTACAAATGAATAATCACTCTTCATACTCCAGCAGTGGTTAAAACCATTCTGTTCACAGACTAACATGACAATGCCATCTGTCAAAACCAAGTTACTATATAAGAAAATGAAAACCATAAATACATGAAACAAGCTGACTACTAACATGAAGCCAATACACCAAAAGGAACCCGATGGTACGAGCATTAGTAGGAGATACCAGCAATAGAAAATAGACTGACTTTGACGTACTACAACCATCTTGCAAAATAAGTTATATGACAGTTTGATGGTTTGCTTATCACAAATTATTTTTGATTTACAGAGGGTTTGGTGAATTTTTTTTTTTTTTTGATAAGTAAAAAATTTTATAAAAAAACACTCAGAAGGGGAGCGAAACCCATGCAAATACAAAAGACCACAAAGGCCTCAAGCCTTCAAAGAGGCTAAAAAATCAACTACTTCCTCCAAAGAACAATGATCTCTTCCTGAAACCTAACAAAAAAGAGTAGAAATAATCGAGAATTTAAGCACCGAAATCGACAAAGCCTTTCCTTCAAAGAATCTCCTATTCCTTTCAAGCCATAAACACCACCACACACAAAGCGGCGTAGCCCTCCACGCATCCTGACTGAGAGCCCCCACAGGGCAACCTCTCCACGCCTCAATCAACCCTCTAGCAGATCCAGGCATAACCCAAGAAACACCAAATAAGCCAAGCATCAAAACCCAACACTCTTTAGCCAAAGGGCAATGAATAAGAAGGTGATTCACAGACTCCTCATCACTAAGACACATAGAGCAACGGTTGACCACCACCTGGCTTCTCCTTCTCAGATTATCCTGGGTTAAAATCCTACCCAGGACCGAAGTCCACACAAAGAAAGCCACCTTAAGAGGAGCCTTGGATCGCCAAACAGACTTCCAAGGAAAACGAACTCCAGGAACAAAAGAGAGGCACTTGAAGAAAGACCTCACCTCAAAGCGCCCCTGAGAGTTTGCAATCCAAGACCAACAGTCTGAATCCTCCTCCACATCCTCTGGCGATATAACAACTCCAAGAAACGAATGACCTCCTCGATCTCCCAATCCTGAAAGGAACGCCTGAATCGAACATCCCAAACCACTCTTCCATTATCAAGATGATAACAGTTAACCACCATGGCCTGCTTATCCATAGCAATCCTGTAAAGCTGAGGAAAGGCGAGGGCAAGAGGCACATCTCCACACCACACATCCTCCCAGAAGCGAATCCTCCTCCCATCTCTGAAACGAAACCGAATGTGCTTGGAAAAATCATCCCAACCCTTCCGAATAAATTTCCAAACCCCCACCCCCCGAGGATCTCTAACTTCCAAAGAACTCCACCCTCCTCTCATTTCCCCAAAACGACATGCCACAACCCTCCTCCAAAGCCGATGTCTCTCCACCCCGAACCTCCACAACCATTTCCCAAGGAGGGCCTTATTAAAGGCAACCAATTTACGGAGACCTAACCCGCCATTGCGAATTGGCCTGCAAACTTGGTCCCATCTCACCAAATGAAACTTAAACTCTTCACCTCCACCCCCCCACAGAAAATTACGCTGCAACCTCTCTATCCTTTCCGCAACTGAAGAGGGAATCTGGAAACGAGAGATAAAATACGTGGGAAGACAAGAGAGGGTGCTCTTAATCAGCGTGACCCTACCGCCCTTGGAGAGATACTGCTTTTTCCAACCTGCCAACCTTCTCTCAAATCTGTCCACCACTGGATCCCAAATCCCCACACACCTCGAAGGAGCTCCCAAAGGCAATCCTAAGTAAGAAATGGGAAATGAACCAGTACGACAGCCAAGAATATCAGCAAAAGTCTCAATCTCAGGGACCTCCCCAACCGGCACCAAAACACTTTTTCCCACATTCACTTTAAGGCCGGAAACAACTTGGAACCAAATCAAAACACATCTTAAATATCTAATCTGAGAAACGTTCGCATCACAAAGAACTAAAGTGTCATCAGCAAACATCAAATGAGAGATTTCCAACTGAGAATCTGCCTCCCTGCCCACCCGAAAGCCTCTCAAAAGACCCAACTCGGTAGCCCTTCTTATCAATCTACTAAGGGCCTCCATCACAAACAAGAACAAGAAGGGGGAAAGGGGATCTCCCTGTCTTAAGCCCCTTGAACTATAGAAAAAACCAGTAGGAGCACCATTAACAAGGATCGAAAAGCGAGCACTGGAAATACAAAAATGAATCCATCTCCTCCATCTATCGCTGAACCCCATCCTCCCCATCAGGTACAGAAGAAAGCTCCAACTTACATGGTCATACGCCTTCCCAATGTCCAACTTACAAAGAACACCCGGGGTTCCACTACGCAATCTGGAGTCCACACACTCACTTGCAAGAAGGACTGAATCCAAAATTTGACGGCCTCCTACTACATATTGTGCATGTGGCCAACCATTCTATTCAGATAATGGCGTCACAGTGCCATCTATTAAACCAAATTATTTAGTGGGTTATTGAGAAGTGAGAACTCTAGAAGTACATGAATCAAGCTAACTATTAATATGTAGCCAATAAACCAAAAAGAATCTGATGATGCGAGCATTAGTAAGAGAGAGAAAAAACATTGGGGAAAAATGATTTGAATTGTTAAAACCATGTTGCGGCAAAATTTGTATAACTGTGACATGGATAACTTCTCATAACTTTTTTTCATTATAAAAAAGATACATTTAACTTAAAATCTGTACCATGCTTATGCATTGGGCAGTTCAAATGTTCAAGGACTGTTTTTTGAGAAATCAATTTTCTAGAATAGTTTTTACTCGTTCTGTTTGGGGTATTTGGAAGACTAGGAACTTGGCATTGCATAACTCCCCTGTTGATGCTGCTGCAGTTGCCAGGAAGGTTCTTTGGGAAGCATTGGATGTTATGGGACTTGTTACTTCTGATTGGCTGACACGGACATGGATTGTAGGCCTTATTTTTTTTTGCCTTTGCTGAAATTTATTTTTTGTATCTATTAGAAGTGAGAGTTGTTCCCTTTTCTTTTTGTAATTTGAGGGAATGCCCTTATTTCTCCTTTCTCCTTCCATACTCCTTTCTTTTATTAGTACGAAAACCATTTAGGAAAAAAACAAACTGTATCTCATTGTGTGCAAAAAAATTATCAAAATGTTAATGAAGAGAAATATAATTTTCAGGGACTACATTATGCGTGTGCACGTGTATGCGTGTGTCTTGGGAACGACACTCAACAAATGAGGGGTGTTCAACGCTTTTGATAACATTTCACATCATTTGATTGTAACAAAGTTAAACAGAGGCATACAATACTGTGAACAAAATGACAAGGTGTTACAAGATCTATCTCCTAAGGTAAAACCTTGGGCCATGAAAAATAACCTGAGTCTCAAAGTTCCCTAGGACATATAGGTAGCCCACAGCATTGGAAGTGCTTCCCACACATGTACTCTTAGTCTGTGATAAAACATTTTAGGCGTTATGCCAGCTACTCAGCAATGCAACTCTCTCTTTTTGCTGCTTTAGAGTCCACACTGAATATCAGCCACATAGATTAAAAGTGGCTCAATTCTAGTGATTCTGAGTCCAAGACACTATCCTGCAGTGCTATCATATAGAGTTGCTACATGGATTGACAACCAAAAGCTTGACAAGTATCACAAACCGACTTGACAACCAGCGTCTGAAAAGTGAATAACTATTGAATTACAACTGATGGTACAAAGAGTTCATGAATAAAAAAAACGTTGTCAGTGGACAGTGGCTTCAATTCCTCTCAGTAAGAAAGAGTTGTGATTAGGCTTAGAGGTAGAGGCTTGGTATGCCCGATTCCACGACTACCAATAATAAGAGGTTTATTCCTGCATTCTTATTGCAAATACAGCCTCAGATTTTAAATGCACACGTCCACATGAATGTCTCAATATACAAAGATGTATGCATATATGCATGCATGCATGCATGCATAAATTTAGTTTTGATCCTTGGAAAAGAAATCCATGGTTCAATTAGTCCATGTGAATAAATTCATTGATGGAGATAAGTAGCAGAACTTTTTAAAGAGTATATAAAATTTGTGAGAAAGATGCTTCCATGGCCCAGGCATTGATTTGGAACACATTAGATGATGCAAATGTCAGTCGGGGCCTCTCATAGTTAAACTTAAAGTCATGTCTATTCATCTAACAAGTTTATAGGTTTTATTAGTATGTTTTAAGCCAAGATCAGTGTAATGTATCTCTTTTAAATTCAGAAAAAACTAATTTAGAGATTTTCTCATAACTTCAAAGCCCTTTGAAATTGTGTGAAGAAACCCAAGCCCGCATTTGGTGTGCAGGAATGGAATGGAATGCAAGTGGGAATGGAATGAGAATGGGAATGGAATGGAATGGTTATTCTCATTCTATTGTTTGGTTGTAAATATAAAATGTTTAGAAATGGAATGATAATAACCAATCTAATGTTTGGTTGGACCAATTTAAAATTTAGATTTTAAATTGAATTCTCCAAAATATCCCTCTTAGTAACAAATAAATTAAATTAACAAAATGACATTCTCTAATAATTTTTTAAAAATAAATGATGGCAGTGGCGGTGGTGCATGGTGGTGAAGGAAAGCGGAAGTGGTGTTGGAAGGCGTCGATGGTGGAAGGCGACGGTAGTGGTGGTGGAAGGCGGTGGCAGTAGTGTGGTGGTGGTTGTGGAAGGAGATAGTGGTGTAGGTAGCGGTGGTGGAAGGTAGTGGAGGTGGCGGTGGTGGAAGATAGTGGAGGTGGCGGTGGTGGAAGGCGGTGGAAGACAATGGCGGTGGCGGTGGCGGTGGCGGCGGTGGTGGAGGAAGGCGGTGGCGGTGGTGGTGGAGGAAGGCGGTGGCGGTGGCGGTGGTGAAAGACAGTGGCGGTGGTGAAAGACAATGGCGGTGGTGGAAGGAGAGGTGATGGTGGTAGTAGAAGGTGGTGGTGGAAGGCGGTGGCGGTGGAAGGCAATGCAAGTGGAAGGCGGTGGTGGTGGTGAAGGTGAAGGTGGTGGTGGTGGTGGATAGTGGTGGTGAAAGGCGGTGGTGGTGGTGAAGGTGAAGGTGGTGGTGGTGGTGGAAGGCGATGGTGGCGGTGGTAGTGAAAGGCGATGGTGGCGGCGGCGGCGGTGGAAGGCGGTAGCAGTGGTGGTGGCGGTGGTGAAAGGCAATTGCCGTGGTAGCGGTGTTGAAAGGCGGTGGCGGTATGTGGTGGTGGTGGAAAGCGGTGGACAATGGTGAAAGTCAGTGGCGGCGGTGGTGGTGGAAAGCGGTGGTAGTGGTGGTGGTGAAAGGCGGAGGTGGTTGTGGTGGAAGGTAGTGGTGGTTTTTGGACTTGGAACATGAGGGTTTTTTGGGATATTTATTTTTTTAAAAAAATTACTTGGGAATGGAATGGCCATTCAATAGGTTTAGTTGTGGAATGGATTATCATTCCCTTGAATGGATTTTCATTTCAATGGAATGGTTATTCCCACTTTAAATTGCATACCAAACAAAGGAATGGTTGGAATGGGCATTCCATTCCCGCACACCAAACGTAGTAAGTGTAGTGACTATGGTTATCTAGGAGTGACTCTTAGATTCTTATTCTTCTTCTTTCCGTTTTTACTTTTACACTCGTACTTGCAGCCAAAATTGGTTAACCACCTTTGTCGAAACTAAGAACCCTCCATAAGAAGCCCAACTTTTCTACAGCAAGATTCAACTCTTGCGCGTGCGCGCACAAAAAAAAAAAAAAAAAAAAAAACTAAAGTTGTGCCAAAATTAAATGACCTGGCCACCTATAACACATGAGATGGTTAAGGAAAGGCAGAGTTAAGATATTGGAGACATGATACTATTACAAATATATAATGGCAGCAAACAAGAGAATTACAACAAAAGAAAACTCACGTCTCAGATGCAACTATCCGCAGCCACAGAGATTTATCTCAAGGACGCCATGGTAAAGATACAAACAAGAAGTACCTGAGCACCCTCATCCATTAAAATTGGTGTACTGTAAATGGGTAAGCATGTCTGAAGATAGACACGTTTCTTTTTCTATGGAAAGAAAAAGTTTGATGATGACATAATATGGGGGTGCAATTTCATTTCCTTGAATACAAGAAATTTCTCAACAGATCAACCATTGCAACATGAGCAAACACTAAGGCCCTGCTTGGAATTGAACTCCCAAAACAACTGTTTTGGGAGTTGCACAAAACAGAAAACACTTGTTTCAATCCTGCTTGGGCCTATTTTTGGAAAACAGTTTTTATAAAATTGTGTTTTCATAGTGTTGGTTTTTAGAGAACAGCTTAAGGTAGTTTTCAGAATTTTCAGCACTGTTTGAGGACTCAAAAGAAAACACGGAGAACACTTCTCCACTTAAAAACTGACGCTACCCTCGCACCGTTTATAACGCAGCATCCATCTTCTCTCTCTTCAACCTCTCTGCAATGCATCTTCTCTCTCTTCAACCTCTCTGCCTGATCTAGTTTATAACACAAGCTCTGCAACGCATCCATCTTCTCTCTCTTCAACCTCTCTGCAATGCATCTTCTCTCTCTTCAACCTCTCTGCCTGATCTAGTTTATAACACAAGCTCTGCAACGCATCCATCTTCTCTCTCTTCAACCTCTCTGCAACCCATTTTCTCTCTCTTAAACCTCTCTGCAACGGCATCTTCTCTCTCTTCAACCACTCTGCAACTAAGAGAAGGTAGATCTGGCTCTTGAAGATCGTTATTTATACAAAGTGAAGGGTGGATCTGGCTCTTCAAGCTCTCTTTCTTCAAGTAATCCTTCAATCTCTCTCTCTCAGTCTCTCTTTGCATTTGTATTGGTATTTTGTGGATTAAAATTTCTAGAACCTTCTTTCAGTTTTTATCCATTATATTAATTGCTTTTGTGATTATTGAGAAGCTTTTGTTTTAATTTTATTTCTAATTTGTTTTGGGAAATATTGATGAATTTTGTTGGTTGTGTGAGTTTTGTTGTGGATTTCACTTTCAGTTTAGGGATTTGGGGTTTTCAGTTTAGGGATTTGGTTTTCAATTTAGGGATTTGGAGGAAAGAGAGAGGAGACAACTTTATGTTAAAAGCTTGAGGTATTTCAATTATATTTTTGGGATTAATTTTGTCAGACCACATGTTACTTTTACTTCATCTATGTAAATTAAATTTTACATTGCAAACAATTATTTTGATGGAGTTAACCATCAACTAAGGGATTGGGCCAACTTCTTGTTTTTGTTGGAAATTTCAAGATTGATTAAAATGATTTTTTAATTGATTGGTATGATACAGTTACATACCTGATCTAAGAGACGGTACCGGGTGTTGATTGGAATAGGGTAGACTTCTGTGCCCAGACATCATTGGCACTATTGGACATTCTTTGGCTCTATGGGCACGATTGAGGTTCTCAACCTAGCCCAGCACCACAAGAACAGGGATTTGAAATCTACAATTAAAAACATCTTGTGAACAGAGAACTTGTGAATAAAGAACTCTTGGAGAATGCTACGACTATATATATATATATATATACATGTGTTAAATCTATATGTGATATTTGCTTGCAAGAGGTTCATGCTATATTGGGTCATACACACCATCCCCTTCACAACCTATCTGCGGATTTGGACTGTAAGACCATTGATGAGGAAAAAAAAGTGAGACCATTGATGAGTGAATTGCATATTTAATTGTCTCCTGAGGATCCTAGTATTCGTGAAGTTGAGTTTGAAGATTGAATTGTGAGGAGGGCAGTGAGAGAATCAAACTGTGGAGAGTTGATTCTGTTCTTGTATAGTAGCTAATTTAGAGCTAATTTATGATATATGAGCATTGCTGCCCTATTTCGTTTTCAAATAGCTAATTTAGATTGAATATTAAATAGATTTACTTTAATTTAGACTGTATGTTTAATAGCTAACTGTAGCTTTTTTTTTTTTTGAAAATTGACATTCTTACCAATAATTGTAATGGGGTTTGAATTAAATTAATTTGTCTAGATAATTCTAGATGCCCTCTCTTTATTTTTCCTATGTGAACCTTAATTCTCTACTTCTACATAAACTCTTATAAGTCTTGTACAAAGTATAGAAAGTATTTATACATTATTGTCTTTGATTTATTTTGTCTAAAGAAATCAACTGATTCATTTATTTTTATAATTGTAGGTAACGCTGGTTGCACGATTCATAATTTTATTCGTCAAAATGCACTATTTGGTTGCTTTTTTACGGAGTATGAAGAAGAAGATGATGTTGTTGGTGAATGAAAGAAACCCAGAATACAAGAGCAGTTCTTTGCTACACAATTCCTGTGATGAGATGGCTTATGTATGTAGACATTGAATTCATGTAATCTTATGAATGAAAGAAGCCCCATAATAGAAGTCTTTTTTCATTTTTAGTGCATTTTTTGTTAATTTGAAAATATTTAAGAGTAATCCACATCTAATTTTTATAATAAATCTAAGAAATAAATAAAAAATAAATGAGTGATATGCAAATATTCTTTATTTTCATAAAACTATTTTCAACCAATCAGTTTTATGGGTTTTTGTTCTCCGAAAATTGTTTCGTAATTTTCCCAACCAAGCAGGTTGAAAAACTAAAAAAACTGTTCTCTGTTCTCATTCTCTAAAAACTGTTCTTGAAAACAATTTTGAGAGAACAAAACCAAGCAAGGCCTAAATCTCTTGAAAAACAACACAAAAACAATTTAGAACCTAAGAAAAGACGAATATCCACATGAGATGACAAGGGTTCTAGTATACTTACTATGCCTCAAATTATTGAGGAAAGAAAAGAAACTAATATAAATTATCTCATTTTTAATGTCATATATTCAATCCTAATTTTTAATTCCACAAACTAAACAATGGAAAATTCTTTTTTCAGCTTCTCCTTGTAAAAAGTCCAACACTAGAAATAAAACCCCAGAAAGTCCATAATACTGCACCCATACATAAAAAATAAAAAAATGAAAAGGCACTTTAATCACCCGAACAATATCACTTGGTTTAAAATGAGTCACCATGACAGCATGTGTACGCTTAATGGTGCACGTTACAAGTAAAAAATTACTGACTTAATGGTGGTGTGAGTCATACATAAATTCAAGTATGAGAAAACAAAGTAAAAGACCTGAAACTGTGACTTACTGGTGGGGTAAATCCTGGTAAAGTTTGGGTATGAGAGAGCACAAATTTGCCACCTGATATGGGACAGGAAGTCTCCTCACAAAGATTATGAGTTTCAGTATGGACACGCACCCCAAAATAAGAAACCTGAAGAGCCAATTTCCCTCCAGATATGGGTTTACCTGCAGAAAAGACATAAGTCTTGGTCATTGATGGAATGACATTGCATTTATCCAAGGTATGTGAGCACAAATGTGTTCTGCTAATTAAAACATGACCCTGTGGCCACTCAATCTTCCATTTTTTTTTTTTCTTATTCTTTCTACAGATAGATGGACCCAAACAATGAAATTCAATGATAGAGCTTTCAAGCATCATTGATGAAGAAACGAGAAGAAGACAGTATTGGGGTTCTATTGCATTTTTCTTTATCTTGGGTGTGGTGTGGTTAAATGAGGTTCAAAAAAAACCATTTAGTTTTCTGCTGAATCAAAAGGCAACTTGTGAAGAATCATATAAATTTGTACTGAAGTGAACTTATAATTTGTTTCTAATAAGAATGTAATACACAAAGGACCACAGAAGCTCTTGAAATGTGAACAATCTACTTATAGTTCTGTTAAAATATTTGAGATCCCTACAAATAAAGTATTACACTCTAGTGTGAGAACATATACACACATATGTATGCTTCCATTTTCTATTGGCCAATCGTAAAAATGTGTACAAGATACCATAACGTTCCAATATCTCAATAGCACTTTGCCTAAAGCGTCAAATGGAGCTTCATATCTGTAACGCAGGAACGATCTGACTAGAAAGTCATTCAGAACTTGATTAAAGTAGAATATAGTCACACACGCACGCACACACATCTATATGCTTCAATTCATAGTTTGCACATTATTGACAAAAATAAAATTCCCAGCTTCCTAAAATTGATGGTGAGTATTAGCTAACAGTTCTTTAAGTCTGAATCACATATATGCCAGAGTACACCTTCCTCGGTAAAACCCATCCTGTAATCACGCCTCTCCTTGTGTTCCATAACTACTGTCCTATCTCTTGAAACTACAAAGGATGAGAAGGAAAATAAATTATTCAAGCAGACCCCAAAAAACATGCTTCTATTTTAAGAAATAGATACAGTCTTAAACACCAATTTATTCCTTAGTTCTTCTTTTTCTTTTTTTTCCCCTAATTTATATTGTTTACTTAATTTATAAGAAGATTTGGGGAGTTTAGTGTGCTTATATTTAAAACTTTTGTGTTCTGATAATATAATTAAATTTGAAATAATGACATTGTTAGTTAAAATATTTGAAAATTACAAAAATATTTTATTTTTTTATTTGGTTAAGTTAAACCATGAAAACTAAAAATAAATAAATAAATAAATAAATAAATAATATAAAATAAAAGCTAAGGGTAAATAAATTTGTTGAATACCCTCAAAGAATTTAATTCTCTACTCTCCAAATTATGAATACTTATGATTAGAACTTTAGTGTTTTAAGGGACAAATTTTGCTTATTTGCATGTTTAGATGTAGTTTGACATTTGGAGTATTTGAAATGTTTTGCTTCTAATACATTTTACTTATCAAAAGAAAAAAAAAAAAAAAAATTGGCTTTGCTTATTTTATCAATTTTGTGAAACAAGAAAAGGAGGAAAAGGAAGAAAAACTTATCATATAATTTATGTTTGATCAGGGGGAGATCGCAAATTTTATTAATGCTTTCTTTTGTGCTTTTCATTTGGAGAAGGGGCAAAGATGGATAAAATTAGGGATTTGATGTAATTAGGTTTAATTTTTCTTTGTTGTTATTTTTGGTAATGTTTAGATTTTAGGTTATTTTAGTATTTTCATATTTTAGGGTTTATTAGGGTTTGCTTATCATTATGCCTATATAAAGGCTCATATGTAATCAGACATTTTCAGCTTTGGAATATTCAATATTATTATGAGTTTGCGAACTCTTCCTATGTGTCTTCTCCTCCCTTGTGTTCTCGCTTTTTTCAGACCCTCAATTTCTCCAACCTACCCCTTCAATCTATCTTCTCATCCCCTTCGTCCATCTCTCACCTCTTTTGTCTAGTCTTGTCTCATCTTCTCATTCTCATCAACTTCTTTCTTTTTCGTTACTATTTGTCCTGCCTCACCCACTCCTCTTCAGTGACAAAATTTCATCTGATCATTTTAAATAGCTATAATGGCATCATTGTAAATATGCTGAAATTCGTATATAACCGTTTGAGGGTTATTTCAGTAAATTCATGCCTGTTAGTAACAAAGGGGCTTTTTGCTAATTCTGGTCTCGGACGGTTATAATTAAAACCCTTAATTCTCAACAGTTACTTGTGTTTCTGTTTTTATCATATATATATATATAGGCTCTCTATGTTGCAAAGTACTACAGTAAATTTTGAATCTAACATTGACATACTCTTTCCCTCTCTCTCTCTCTGGATATATACATAGTTGAAAAACAGATTTGAAGCTTACTGATCATCTATTGCTTTGCTAATAGAAGAAGAGAGAGTGAAGAAATTGTGCCGTTCAAAAGAGAGAACATATTGAGTTGTGCAAAAGATTATATTTACAATCATATTGTCTAATTCTATCATCCCAAACAGAATCAGAGATCAACTCTCAAAGATCAAAAGTGACACGACTTGAAAGATCGTCAGTGCTCTTCCTCAAGTGAGCTTAACAGATTGTACACTCAAACGGAACAGAGCAACTCCACTTCAAATAATTCATAAAAAATCAGAGCACTTCAAAGTTCAAACTAATGTATCTATTGTAATCTATCTCTGCGTATTTCTTGTGTAAAACTCAATTTCTTCTTCATGTTTGTATAACTGAATTGTATTTGGGTTAGAAGTGTGAGAGGACTCTGAACTTGAGATTATAGAGGGGGAAAATCTATTTAATTGTTAAATTTGGATGGGGATTAGTGGATCAGAGAGTGTTTTGACAGATTGTCTTGAAGAATAGTGAACTGATTTATGAGCTTCAAAGCTCCATGGATTTTTCTCCATTATTAGGGACTTTTTGGTAATTCTGGTCTCAAACGGTTACATTTAATTCTCAATAGTTACTTCTGTTTCTGTTTTTAGTACACACACACACGCTCTCTCTCTCTGTTGTAACGGGGACTTTGAATCCAACATTGGCATTCTCTCTCTCTGTGGCCAAATACATACTTGAAAAACACATTTGAAACTTGCTGACCATCTATTCTGTTTCTAATAGAAGAAGAGACTGATTAAATTGTGTTATTCAAAAGAGAGAACATACTGAGTTCTGCAAAAGATCACATTTACAAAATTTCAGAGTCAATCATATTGTCTATCATCCCTTGAGATCAACTCTCAAAGATCAAGAGCAACACAACTTGAAAAATCATCAGTGCTCTTCCTCAAGCGAGCTTCACAGATTTTACACACCAACAGAACAGAGCAACTCCATGTCAAGTAATTCATCAATTATTAGAGAGCTTCAACGTTCAAATTAATGTATCTATTATGATCTATCTCTCTGTCTGTCTTGTTGTAAAACTCAATCTCTACAAATTATAACTGAGTTTGAAATTGGGTTTGAAGTGTGAAGAGTACTCTATACTTGAGTTTATAGAGGGGTTTGTAAACCTATTGAATTGTAATACTTGGTTGGGGCTGAGTGGATCATAGAGTGCTTTGATTGATTGATTGTAATCATTCTTGAAGAATAGGGGACTGATTTAAGAGCTTCAAAGCTACGTGGATGTTTTCCCATTATTAGGGTTTTTACCAAGTAAATGTTGGTGTCATGTTGATAGTTGATTTCATGTGTTATGTTCTTGAACAGAACCATTAAAATTTGAAAGAAAAACCAAGTAACCAATTCACCCCTCCCATCTTGGTTACTTCAAATAGGACTTATGTTGGCATATTTCGTGGATCAAAACTAGAGTTCGTATTACATTTTTTTTTTTTTTTTTTTTTACCTTAGTTAGATCTATAAAAGTTAGTGTCAAGTTAGTTATCTGTTGGTCAAGGTCAATGTTGGAATTCAAGCTTCAGCCAAGGGAAATATAATAATATTTGAAGCCAAGGGTACAAGGTAAATTGACACTATCATATGAACTCACAAAATTATGGTTCATGCATTCATATATTAGGGTTTTACGAGTACATGTTTTTGATTTTGGAAAAACCTAATTTAATTGAATTAAAGTTTGTTTGGGAACTTGCTAAATCTAAAAATCTTCATAAGTATAATGCTCAGGGCACTTCAACTGATCATGGATACATGTCAATTGATCAACATTGATTCTCAATCAATCGAGATGTCTGGAACAGCAGTTTCCTTTTAGGTTTAAAACATTAAAACCTTATTCTCCCTATAACTTTGTTTTGTCTATAAATACCCAATATTAAAATAAAATAAATTCTAGATATACAGACGGAGACATAAGCTATAGAGGTTTTATGCAAAATTGAGTAAATATATATATTTTTCTTTACCATTCATCAATCATATTACATTAGATTGGTGAGTAAAATATATGAGTGTTGACTTTTAAACAGTTGTAGAGTTAAATTAAAGAGTTTAACACCAACAAACAATCAATCAACCAAGTTTAGGGTGGGTGACTAGTCTAGAGATCATAATGCTATTAAAGAAGCAGATTCATGAGGAACGAAGTTTGTTGACTTAACAAACCGTGTACTTAAAAAAAATTGTGCGTAGATCAGCCTATGTCAAGAGATAACTACAGATTCTGAGGTATGTAAACTTTAATCTAGTAATTGGACTAGGTCCCTTGTTTTTCTCATTTGGGTTTTCCACGTAAAATCATTGGTGTTCATTGTTCATGATTTCGCTTTAATTTACTTTAGATTGAATGATTCAACTTGTGGCCTTCTTCGACCACCTTGATCTTTCTCTGTCTCGAACCAACCCTCTCTTCTTCTCTTCATGTATGTGGGCTGCCTGCCCCATCCCGAATAGCCGAGCCGGGTCATTTGTAAGCCCAAATGGCATGACAAGGGTTATGACTAGCATGATGGATTGATTGGTACTGGATACTTGGTATAAAATTGAATTTCCAATAAGTTGGATAAAATTCAAATTTTGGTTAAAATTAGTTAATACTGCGACTAGACCTCTTCACTCCTCTCTAGGTCTAGATCACGAACCTTGCCCTAACTCAATCAGAGACTAGGAGGGGACTGCTTGAGGCCCTAGATAGACTTATTGAGATGACACACACTCTCCCCCTTGTACTCAAACCTAGGTGGTTGAGCCATATAGACTGACTGTCTCAGTAAGGTCACCGTGCAAAAAGGCATTTTTACATCAAGTCGATGATGAAGTGGCCAGTCTAGATTTAGGCAATAAGTGTGCTTCATGATATAATTTAGGCAACACTTAAAAATGAGCTTCAACTAAAATGAGCCAAAATGTTAAGTGAAAGGGACTTCATATATTACTGAATGCAGAACACACTAAAGAAGCTTAATGACATGAGTTTAAAATTTCTACTCAAATGAACAAAAATTCCTTGAAATAAAAAGATCTTGCTCTCCAATATTGACTCTCAGTACCACAACCCCAATGTAGATGCTATTTTCGACAGACCCTGACAGCATCCAATGGTTCCACTACAGGTGACTACGCAAACTTCCTGGCCTTCATTGAGCTCCTCAAGATTCATATGGTAATAAAGGTCATGTAAAGATGAGAAATTGGGAAAGAACCAAATTGTCAAGAGAAATTGAAAAGATATTTGACATCTTGAAGGTGAGATAAGCCCCAAAACTTCTGATAAGCTGTATCAACTCTTCCTTCATGAAATTAGCCAAACATAAATACATTATCTTCCATCTTTAAAAATCTTTAGACTCTCATGTCTTCAATCACTCAATTCCACATAAGGATACTTTTGTTGGGATTCTTCAAATCTTACCAGAATTGATGAGAGAGACTACTTTTTTATTCTCTGTTTTTTTTTTTCTCATGATACAAGAATTCGTTGGATCAAGAGGTTGACCTCACAACTCATGATTCAATTACTGAGGATGCAATCACAGTAAGAGCGCCCTCATTATAGACTTGCTCATGATCTCACTTCTAAAATGAAAAAGTTGTCATAGGAGCGCTCTCACAAGCTCATGATCCAATGACTAAGAGGACGAAAACAGAGAGAGAGAGCCCTCGTTAAAGACTTGCTCATTCTCAAAGGGATGGAGAAAGATTAGCAGAAGCCTCGATGAACTCCGGACAGCTACAAAACAGTGTAGCATGGCAACATCTCCTTCACTTTAATTTAGCTTTCCCATAGTAAGCTAAGTGACATAGCTATTTGATAACTTTTTCCTCTAATATTTTGTGTTGTGCTATTGTAATTGAGAATTTGTGATTATTATTACTACTTTCATGTTTGGTTTTGAATGAGCCAAGCTGATTCCTTTTGAGTGGTGGTTATATTTTTGGTGTTGGTGATTTTACGTTATTGCTTTTTGTTAATTTGGTTATTTCTTTTTGTATTATAAAATTACTTTTTATACTTATACATTTTTTTTTTTTTTTGATAAGTAAAAATATATTAACAAACACGCTCAGAGGGGAGCGAACTCTTAACAAAGCAAACAAAATACACAAAATGCGTCATTACAACGATAAGTTGTCAACAAAATCCAAAAAACTATATACTTATACATAATAGCTTTAAAAAAATATTATTAAATAATGTTGAGGCTAAAACTACAAATTAAATAGTTTTCAAACTTCAGTATTTTGTATTATCTAACAGTTCCAATAAATCCATCACTCAAAATTAAGACTTTAACAAACAAGCTCTCATATTTGTAGATTCAGCAATTAATGTTCAGCTCTTAAAATTTTCAGCACCTAAATTTATATTTTATCAAACAGCAACTTAGCACATTGCATTGGATGCAAAACCAAGTCTGGTAAGAGTAGAATAACTATAACAACTTAAGAAAGAGGGCCTAGAATAACCCCATAACCATAACTAGAAGAATATAAATGGCTAAAGAAAGGAGGGTTAGACTAATTTTATTGATATGAACTTTTCTGTTAAAACAAATAAGTTTTCACTATGAGGAGTAAAAGACAATGATATGCAGGCCTCATCTGTTTATTCCTCCTACTTTTCACCAACCAGAGGTGCATGTTTAGAATTAAGATGTCAAATTCCAATTGAAAGCTAAATGCATTAATGCCTTTGATCATGAATGTTTGCCAAATGTCATAGATTTTCATTGAAAATTTCTGATTTAAGTTTATGGATGATTAGGAATGAAGACTAACAATGTACCGGAGTTGAAGAAAAAATCAATGGTATTATCATATTATGGATTCAACAATGTAACTATAATCAATTTGAAGAGTAACAACAACAAGACGACGCCAACAACTTCAATGCCCATCGAGCTCTACATTACATGAAAAGGGAACTAAAGCAACAAAGCACATACTACACAGCACTGTGATTATAAATCAGTACATGGTACAGATTAAAACTAAGAAAACGGGTGGGGAAAAAAAAAAAAAAAATTGATAAATTACCAGCAGAAGCTGAGATGGTGAAGGTGGCTGGTTTGCCAGTCTCCACCGGATCAGGCGCGATATCAACGCCATCAACCTTAACTACATAATTACCCTTCTTATCTGCACACGTTGAAATAAATAAATAAATAACTACAGACCCATCTGATTATACATGAATTCAACACAAAAACCAACACCAAAAAAATACATTATAATCAATTAGTACAAATCCCAAAACAAAACAAAATAAAGATACGCCTAAAAAAACAAAAACATGAAAGCATTTTGAAAACAGTTGAATGCGTTGGACTGAGTTTCTGTCTTTAATAATTTATATATGCATGTTGAAGTTGAAAGAAACAGAAAATATGTCTGTTTTTTTTATTTTCCCGTATGGTGTTATTGTTTGTTTTCATGGAAATTTAAGTGGAACTAAAAAGATTAAAGAAGTGGGGACTCACTCAACAACCCTTCTTATCTGCACTAATTGAATTAAATAAATAATAATCATATACCCATCTGATTATACATGAACACAATACCCAAAAAAAAAAAAAAAAAAAAAAAACCAACACCAAAATACTACTACATGATAACCAATTAACACAAATTCCAATACCCAAAAAAAAAACCCCAAAAATAATATATGAAGTTAACCAAGATCACTAAATAAACAAAATCAAAAAAACACTTTTTGCAAATAATTGAGTGGGTCGGACTGAATTTCTGTATTTGATGATATATACTCGAATTTTCTCGGGAATTTAAGTGGAAAAAACAAGGATTAAAGAAGTGGGGAGCCAGTGAACTACCGACCACAGTATTTGACATCCTTGGCATGAATCGATGGTAGGAACAAACACGATGCAAAGAAAAATACCAGGATTGCCTCCATATTGGATTCAGAAATTCAGAATTTGTGATGGAACTAAATGGGCGTTGATCTAGTGGCGGAGCAGATTAATAAGTTTGAGACTTTTTTTTTTTTTTTTTTTTTTAAGTTGAAGGGTAAGCTTTTAATAAGTTGAGACTTGAGAGAGACAAAGAGCTGAAATAGATCCCCCCCCCCCCCCCCCCCCCCCCGCGGCGAATTAAAAAATGTGTAATTAACCCTCTGAATTATTGTATTTCGTAGCAATTTACCCACACTGGTGACTGGCATAAAAATTTTGACCGTAATTAGGCACGTGGAAGTCACTTTTTTTTTAAATGCCCATTTCACCCCCCCCGCCGAATTAAAAAATGTGTAATTAACCCTCTGAATTATTGTATTTTGTAGCAATTTACCCACACTGGTGACTGGCATAAAAATTTTGACCATAATTAGGCACGTGGAAGTCACTTTTTTTCTAAATGCCCATTTCACCCTTGTTATGCAAAAAGACCAAAAAGCTCTTATTACCCAAATCAATTACCCTAATTTGTACATGTGCCTATATACATAGTAATTTGATTTCTCTCTCTGGATCTATCTCTCTCGATCATCTTTGTCCCTCTCGATCACAATATCTGCCTCTCTCTCTCATCTCTATGCCTCGATCACGATTCCGGCAAGATATATACGGATTATTGGTCTCGATCCACAATATCTCTCTTCTCTATCTCTATCATCTACCATCCGCATATATACACAGAAATATAAGGATTATTGCAAAGGATGAGGTCAACTAGTGAATCCTCTTGCAGTTCTGGAATTCGAAGAGGTGTGTTCAAGAATAGGAAATGTTTTTGTGGTGCCAAGGCTGCTGTATACATATCTGAGTCCAACAATAATCCAGGTAAGCTATATTTCAAATGCAAAAAGGAATTTCATCCTTGTACGTTCTGGGAATGGTGGGTTGAACCTAGTATCCAAGATGAAGTAGCAGTACCTGAAGTAGCAGCACCAGCTCCAGCACCTCGCCTAGTTGGTCTACATACTTCACCAAGTTTTGTGAATGATGGACTGCCATTGAACGAGTTCATTTAAATTGTAAAAACCATGTATATTAGCAGCATGGTTTTGTTTGTGATGTGTTTTTTAGTTTTAATTGTTTCAGTTTTTGTGAAATGAAAATTTTATTGGGTTTTGCAGGTATATCTGAAATTATGTGTTTTGTGGTTTGGTTTGTGATGTGTTTTGTAGTTGTGGCATTTATTAGGTATCTTGTTGGTTATGTTGACATTGTAATATATTTTGAAGTTCCATTTACAATAAAATCAGATGCATTAACACCACCAACTGAGATGCAATGCCCAATTGACCTGTAATGCATTGACACGAATCAATTAAGCACTTATAGATTCAATACCATTTATTGACACTAAAAGCACCTGTATTCATATCACTGAAACAATTTTCAACATCATAAATAAATACCTGCACTTACTACCTGTATTCACATCATGAGTAAATACCTGCACTTACTACCTGTATTCACATCAGTCAACAATTATCAACAACCATTACTGAACTGGACTAGGCACTTGCTACTTGTCTTGACATAACTCCATGCAATAATAACATATGACCATTTTAAGCTACCACACTAAACTGAATTTACATAACCAAATCATTCTTACAATAGCCATAACCAAAGTATTTAACATTTAAAACATTCTTACATTACATTAACTAAATACATGATACATGTCAATAGACACAATTAGACAAAAAATACTTCCAGTTCTTCATGTCAACAGTAGCTATCATCAGTTCAGTACCAACCACACCTAAAAATACTTCCAGTTCTTCATGTCTACCATGAAGCATAATCACTGTCCATCATAGACCTGTAAAGAAGTTGGGAAAATAAGTAACTTATTAACATGTCTATACATTAACATATTATGAAGTTAACTTGAGAATGAAACACACCTAGAACTGGATGCTTGTGTTGATGACAATTGTGAAAATGGGATGTTATGAACCTATTAAGAGCATACACAAGTTAGGAATTTCAGTAGAAATTTCATTGTTAAAGGAAGAAAAAAAAAAATACAACTTAAACATGTACCTTTTGACTCTGAATTGTAGTAGGAATTTCATTTCTAACTGCAGCTGTTGCACTTCTCCTGCCCTTTCCTCTTAATGATATTCCTCTTCCTCTTCTAAGTATTCGTGATCTGCCTCCCTTTTTTGGAGGAGGTTTCTCAATGACCACAGGTTCAGGGAGTTTACATGTCCTTGAGTTATGGCCTTTCTCCTTGCAGTTTGAACATGTCAACATATCCTTTGACCTACTAACCTTGGTTGGCTTGCTTGAAGTATTAACCTTGGTTGTCTGGTTTGAAGTACTAACCTTTGTTGACTCATCATTTTTCTTATTCCTTGACTTCTTTGGTCTACCAATAGGTTTCCTAAAGATTGGTGGAAGCATTTGCTCATTGGGTTGTGATTTCAGTAACTTTCTCATGGGAAATGGATTGATCAAACCAGCATATGCCTTTAAGTAGGTTTCCCTATGATAGCATGGATCAACATATGATTCAGGCACATCCCCCCTCCTTGTAAAAATGCATGCTACAACATGTCTACAAGGGATACCAGTCATATTCCATACCCTGTAGGTGCAACTCTTATTTCCAAGATCAACTCCCTCACTGATACCAAAACACTCAACCTCAAACTTGTTATCACCAGTATAGTGCACCTTGCACATCCTTGCTGCCTTCTTCACTTTGTTCAATTTGTTTTGAATATCAGGACATAATAAGCCATCCTTTGATTCCATCCACTCCCTCTTCTGTTGGAATCTCAGCATGAGATGCCTCCTGATCCACTCTAAGATATAAATTATTGGTTTATCCCTAGCTTTAAGAATGACAGCATTCCAGCTTTTACACATATTATTGATCACCATATCACTTTTTGATTGGTCTGTGAAACTTGACCTTGACCACATTTGAGATGGCATATTCTGAAGCCAACCAAAAGCTTCAACATTTAACTCCTTTATCTTTCTCATATGTGCATCAAAATCAGGTTGTGTATATGACCTTACAGCCTCCCACAACTCAATTTTCAAGTGCTGTCCTTTAAATCTGAGTTTGAAGTTCTCATACAAATGCCTCACAATATGTATGGACTGAACCCTCCATGATATGCTCAAAAGTTTCAACCAATCCCTACATTAAAAACAAATTGTACTAAAATAACAGATTTAAAAATAACAAATTGTAATAAAATAACAGATTTTAAAATAATAAATTTTAAATTAACACACTGTAGTAAAATACTGACCTTTTGTCTATCAGATATGAATGTGATGTCAGTATAAGGCCCCACAGCCTCCATCAGTTCTATTAGAAACCAACTTCAAGAATCCCTTGTCTCAGCCTCAATTACTGCAATTGCAACTGGGAACATTTGTTCATTTCCATCAACAGATATTGCACTCAATAGGTGGCCACCATATGAACCCTTCAAAAAGCAACCATCAACACCAATAAGTTGCCTACAACCTTCTTTAAAACCCTTCCTCATTGCAGCATAACAGATGAAAACCCTTTGAAATCTCCTCACATTCTCTTCACATGTGGGCTCAGTTTGAATTTTAACAACACTTCCAGGGTTGGCATCTTTTGATATTGTTTTACTTCATTTCCCTAAATGACTTCAATAGCTTTTCTCTTTGCCCTTCTTACTTTGTGTTTGGACACATCAATTTGCATATCAGAAGCAATAGTGGTCCTTAGTGTATCACAAGGTATGGTTGGGTTCATTCTCACTTGCTCTAAGTACTTAGTGGCTAAGTAAGAAGAGGATGCTTGTCTATTAGTTTGAAACCAAAGGCAGTTGGTATGTTCTGAATGATATGTCTTCACTATCAAGCAATCCTGACCTACTAGTTTGCTTGCAAATACTTTCCACCTACATTCAGCCTTACATACTACAGAGATCCTGTCACCATCATTTCTTTTGAACTTTATATCAAACCTGCCTTTCAATGCTGTTTCTCTAAGTGCCAATCTAAAGTGTTCAGCTATCCCAAATTTCATTCCTAATTATAGTTCTTTTACATCCAAATCCCTTGAAGGAATATATTCTGGGTACTTAGGACCACTAACCTCCTCACCTGATCCACATAAACTGATTAACTCATCACTAGGAGTATAATCTGAAATCTATTTAAAAGTATCATCACTTGAACTATTTGAGTCTGAGCTAGCTGTTGGAAGCTGAATCTCTTCCCCTTGCACATTCAACAGAGGTGCAACAATGTACAACTTGATGATGGTTATTGCCCTATCAACTTCATAGTCATAAAACATCCTAAGTATATCTAAGTCACACCTAACCTCTCTGAAGCTTTGACTACCCTCTAAAAATGGTACTTTGTAAAACACTTGCTCTAACTCCCCATATCCCATGTTATCTGCCATCTCTTGAATATCATCATATGACGCGATGTCTGGATCAACTATTGGAATCATAGTGAAATATTCTCCTATGTATGACATAGGGGGTGTTTTAGAGAACACACCCCCATGATGGAGTTCAATGCTGTAAAAGTGCATCTACATAACATAAACCCACATACCTTAATCACACTTGACTTGACAGTAAACAAATAAAAAGGTTAACCAAATACTTTAATCACACATTAAACTAAACAACAAAAAAAGTTGTTGACATTTCAAAAATGTTAATAATAAGGACAAAAAGTCCAAAAGCACTTAAATAAGAGTAAAAAAAAAAATCTAACTCTAGCAGGACCACTTCAGCACTAACATTCTCAAGTCAAGTGTGATTAAAGCACAAAAAAAATGGGCCACTCAATGACAGCACATAACATATAAGACACAAATAGTGAAAGCATATATAGTGTTTCATGCAATAAAGAACAACAAGATCATAACTTTATACATAGGGCACATATCACAAGTCATTTTCTGTCGGTCCGCAACAAAACAGAACTTTAAATTTTTTTTAAAAAATTGTCAGAAAGATTCTTTACATAATAAATCATGTACTGTAAACCTTAAATTGGTACAACGTTTAATGTTGAGCCAAATGTTTCTACCAAAAATTATAGAGCCATGCACCATTATCACGTCCCATTCACAGATTAAAAAA